TCTGGGTTGGAACCCAGCACTACACAGCATTTGTCTCTATCTTGTAGCAGCAGAGAATGTTAGAGAGAGAAAGAGAATCCAAGCTGAGAATGGTGGAAAGGGACACTGCTTCCATAAAGGTGGAGGGGGCCACCTGAGAAGGATTCTGGAGCACAGAGCAGCCTGACTGACAATGAGCAAGGAAGCTAGTTGTCAGCCCAGTAAACATAAGGAACTGTCATTCAAGAACTGGGGGTGGCCTCAGTGCCACCAAAAAATAAATGAGATAAGCTGACAAAATTACTTTCTTAAAATGCAAACAAAAAAAAAGAGATGGATTAGTAAAAGAAAATTAAAAACAGGGCTGTAGTGCAGCTCAGTGGTAGAGTTCTTATCTAGCCTGTGAGAGGCCCTGGGTTCAATGCCCAGTAGAGGAAATAAAAACAACAACCAAACAAACAAATGGGTTAGCAAAATTAATGAGAGAGACAGAGAGAACACTAAAGCAAGGATGGGATGACTAAATGAATCTAGATGAAGGACATATAAGAATTATACTATTCTTGCAGATTTTTTTTTTTTTTTGGTGGGACTGGGGTTTGAAGTCAGGTCTTTGCACTTGCAAAGCAGGTGCCCTACTGCTTGAGCCACACCTCCAGTCCATTTTATTCTGGTTATTTTGGAGATGGGGGTCTCAGGAACTATTTGGCCCAGCTGACCTTAAACCATAATCTTCCTGATCTCAACCTCCCAAGTAGCTTTGAAATTCTGCAAAATAAAAAATTGGAAAAAACAAAGCACCCTCATTCCTTTCCATATGTTCCTCCAGCTGTCATCATCTCACCTTCTGCACATAGCAAAGATTCCTCAGAAGCATCTATGTTCACTGTCCCTATGTTCCCAGCCACCACTGTGCTGGTTGAATGTTTAATAACTGGCTTTCTAAATAAACCAAAATGCACCTGATTAGTAGTTTTTTTGTCAATTCCTGTGGTGTAAATATTCCCACCATGACTGATTTCACTATATCAGGGCATCATCAAAGACAGAATTGGTAAAAGAGGTGGCGACACCCTTCATGTTGTATGTCCAGCATACAGATTTAACGTTACAGTCATGCATTATTTAGGGACACGGACATATTCTAACAAATGCAGTGTTATGCAATCTTGTAATTGTGAACAGCAGTGTCAGCTGATCATCTCATTCACCCTCTCAATCCAGTCGAGAGGCATGGTAAGCATGAGGTATGGTATGATATGGTTGATTGCTTAGTAATAAACTGTCTTTTTGGTGGGATTGGGGTTTAAACTTTTATTTTTTTATAAGTAGGAGTATATTCTAAAATAGCAGTAAATGTAGGCCCAGTACTTGGGAGTCTGTGGCCAGAAGATTGCAAGTTCAAGGCCACCCTGGACTACATAGTGAAAGCCTGTCTAAAACAAACAAACAAACAAACAAACAAAACCTAAGAAAAAAATTAAAATAGCAATAAATGTACACTATAGAAAAGACATGAAGCAGTAGTACAGCTGGGCATGTAGTGGTACATGCCTATAATCCCAGCTACTGGGGAGGAAGAGGGAAAAGGACCAAGGTTTCAGGCCAGCCCAGGCAAAGTTAGCATGATACCTTCCCTAAAAAACAAACTAAAAACAAAAGGACTGGAGGCGTGGCTCAAGTGGGTAGAATGCTTGTGTGAGGCCCTAAGTTCAACCTCCAGTACCACAAAATAAAGTAAAATAAACTAGTAATATAGTCATTTATTATCAAGTGTATGTACTGTACATAATTTTTGTACCATATTTTTGTGTGTGTGTGGCACTAGGGTTTGAACTCAGGGCTTTGAGCGTGCCCTACCACTTTAGCCATGTCCCTAGCCCATTTTGCTTTTTTAAATTTTTTTTTTTTTTGGGTGCACTGTTCCTGGAGGTACTGCAATACCAGGTCGATGCGTGGAGTGGACGGAGCAAGCTCCTATTCTATCTCCCTGTTCCAAAAATCCATTTAATATATTGTCCTTGGATAGAGGACATATCAGATATTAAACTGATAAGAACAGATACTACACTTGATCTTAGCCAAAAGACTGAGAAGTGATTTTTTTAAAGTTTTTTGAATAGGGTCTTTTTTTTTTTCCCCCAGTATTGGGGATCACAGCTGGGACCTCATTCATGCTAGGCAAACACTTAGCACTGAGGTACATCCTCAGCCCCTTGAATAGGGTCTTGTATTTATTTATGCTTGGGCAAGGCTGAACCTTGATCTTCTTATCTAAGTTTCCCACGTAGATAGGATGACAGGCGCCTGCCACCGTGCCCAGCTTTTTATTGTCTGAGATGGGCTCTCACTGATTTTTTTTTTTGACTAGGCTGGCCTTGAACTGTGATCCTCTCTATCTCTGCCTTCTAAGTAGCTAAGATTTCAAGCCTGAGCCACTGAGGCCGGCTGTGCCATATTTTTAAATGATTGGCAGCTCAGTAGAGTGAGTAATGAATGCATTGTGCTATGACAACTACACAATGTCACTATGCCACAGCAATTTTTCAGTGCCATTGTAACTTTGTGTGTGTGTGTGTGTGTGTGTGGTGCTGGGTGGGAATGAATCCAGGGCCTCACACATGGTAGGTAAGCATTCTACCACTGAGCTATACTCCCAGCCCAGTGCCATTATAATCTTATGAAACTACTGGCCATCTTATATGGGCCTGTCTATGACTCAAATGGTATTGTGTCACATGTTTATATGTAAATAACTTTAAGCATAGATAATAGTAAAATAATTAAGAAGTGAATCATCCAGGCACCAGTGGCTCACGCCTGTAATCCTAGCTACTTGGGAGGCTGAGATCTGGAGGATCACAGTTCAAGGTCAGCCTGGGCAAATAGTTTGAGACCCCATCTCAACCAATAGTTCTGTATGATGGTGTGTTCCAGTCATCCCAAGCTACCTAGGAGGCTGAGATTGGGAGGACAGAGTTTCCAGGACAGCTGAGGCAAAAAGTTTTCGAGACCCGATCTAAACTGAAAAAAGCTGGGCATGGTGGTGTGTGCCTGTTATCTCAGCTGACAGTGGGAAGCTTAAAATAGGATTACAGTCCAGGCAGGGCTGTGCAAAACCCAAGACTTTATATAAAAATAACCAGAGCAAAAAGGGCTGGGGGGGTGGCTCAGTCAGTACAGCACCTGCCTAGCAAGTGTGAAGCCCTAAGTTCAAACTCCAGTACTAAAAAAAAAAAAAGTGAATCATTCAGGGTGTTCATTACCTTTGTTTTTAATATAACCCATTTGGTCCTGTTTATACAATTCATCATTAAATATTAGCTGTGTTTAACAACTGGTTGCAAAATTCTTGAAAACTTGCCACTTGGCTCTCAAGAATCAATACAAGCTGGCTTCAGACCACCTGTGTGAAAGAAAATCTCAATCCAGTGAATCTGGCTTCTCTCTCACTATTCAATCAAAACCCTGCAGGCTCTTCTCCCCAGAGACCTATTTTGCAAAGTGTAAAGGACAGTGAACACAGTTCTGTCTTTGCCTTGCCTGCATTCCACACTGCTGATTCCACCCGCCTTCTCCACCGCCCTGCAAGTCATGTTCATACCACTGGACAGTCCTGCCCAGGCTCCTCCAAGGGCTCTTATTCTCCCACCTTGGCTGCCCATTTGACACACTGTCCCTGGGTACCCTTGTCTTGTGTTTCAACACAACTAAGAAGCTGTATTTCTAGCCCAGACCACCTTCTCCCCCACAAATCTATATACTCCAAACACGTAACTAGTCTTTTCTGGAAGTAAAGACATCTCATGTAAAACCAGAGTAGCTTTTTTCCCTTACTCCATCCTGGAAGGGGAGTTCCTGAAGGACAGGTCTGTCCAGGCTGAAAGTCAGGGAATACATGTTCCCCAGTGCCAAGCTGCCTTTTTTCCTCTTCTTTTCTTTTAAAATAAAAGTAAATTTATTAAAAGTATAGAAGCGCCTGTTATGCAGGTTAATTAGTGATAACAAATGTGTCTGTTTTTCAAATTTTTTTCAGATACGTCCCTTGGTTCTCTTGAGAAGAACGGTTTGTCTGATACACAAGGCGCACGTGTTTCTGTCCCAAATGTTGAAGCATTAGTCTGGAGATATAATCTCAAAGGTGGGATGCTGGTCCTGTCTTCAATATTCTCCACTGTAAGATGCCTCCTTTTCAAAGAATCAAGTCCATAAGCCTGTATCACTGCTTCACAGCGACATTCATTCACTCCGCCATGGGCCACCCCTCCTAACCTTATCTAGCCACAGATTGCATGGCCAGGTCAAAGTACCGCCACTTGATGGCGGCATTCGCCAAATGGAAATTAGCATAGGGATGCTGAAATAGCAAAAGCCTGGGCTTCACAGGGCAAGATGTATCCACTCACGCTGAACTGATGAAGAACTTGTCCACAGCTTAGGCTGAGGTCTCAGTTTTTCCCTTTTTTGCTAAGCACCAACAAGCGTCTTCCCAAAGCGCTGAACAGGAGTTGACTCCTTTTTGCGCTTGGAACAACTCAGTCGCTGTCAATCAATCAGTCATTGTCCGTAGAGATCGAGTAATCACTCTTGGTTTAGTCCACCAGTCAGTCAAAATCCAAATGAATCTGTCCTTGTAATCGATCAACCCACGCGTCCGTCCCTGGAGCTACAATACTGAGCTGTCTCTCGCGACTGAATTCACACCTCAGGCCCCGCCCCTTTGTAGTCTCACCCAACCACAGATCTGAGACTCACAGGGCCGCATCCAGTCATAGGTCCGCTTTTTCAAAACCCTGCCCTATCAGAAGACGAGCTCTCTAAGAATTCCCCGCCCTCTAGTCGGTCCCACCCCTATCACTGATCTCGTGTTCTCCTTGGAGAGTCCTGCCCAATCAAAGGCTTTTCCCTTCCTAAATCCCGCCCCTGAGGTCGGCTTTTCCCAGGCCCGCGCTGGTCCAGGCAGATGGGGCGGATGACGCCATCAGGGCGCGACGCAGTAAGGTCACACGGAATTCTCCAATATGGCGGCGGCGGCGCTGCGGGGCGGCTGGTGCCGCTGTTCACGGGTGAGTGGCTGTACGGGGCTGGTGGGGCGGGTTTAGTGAGCTTTGGGCGCGCAGTCTCCAAGGCCTCCTTGTGCTCAGGTCCTTGGCTCGATGGACCTTCCCGTGGCCACCACGGGATTCTTGGGGTCAGGCCATTGGGTCAAATGAGGTCGGGGCAGGGAGCACGTAGCGAGGCCGGAGGGCGGGGACCGAGCGTGCCGGACGAGGGGCGGCAGTGCACGAGCTTCGCGGGGAGCTGTGCACTTCTTGCCTCCCGATCAGACCATGTGCGGGTGGAATGAGTGTTGGCCGGGGCGGCAGTGCCCCGTAGAGAAGTAGCAGCCAGGTGAAGGCAAAATCCTTGACATTCACGCCTCGCGTTTAAATGTCAGGTCCTTGGCGAGGGCATTTCTTGCATCGCCTCCCCTTTCGCGTTGGCTAAGAGCTGGGCTCTTGTTTCCCTAAGGCGGTGGGAGTCAGAGTCTGTAATGCACACTCAGAAAATAGTACTTCGTATTGTCACTGCTTGACCCGATTTCGGAACCCGAGGCTCAGAAAGGTTAAGTAACCTGCCCGCAATCCCAGAGCTACTAGGTGGCTGATGTGGTTCAAACCCCAGATCAGACTTACTCTAGAGCCAAACTGTTAACGAAGAAGGACAGTATCTCATAGGAACTGAATGTTGAGAGATAGAAGGTGTCCTTGAATCAGGACTGCATTTTTTTTTTTTTTTTTTTTGCAGAGGAGGGGGAATTCTTTGTCTTTCGAGTCAGGGTTCAGGGGTTAAATTTACACCTATTGGATTTGGGCATGAGACTAAGCAGAACCAATGTCAGGTTTCATACTGTCATGAGATTTCTCTCCCAAGTTGACAGCCATCCACTTCTACTTCAGATGATTGCTGATTTCATGCTTCTGGGATCACCAGTGTGGGCATATAGAGAAGTATGTGCCTACATATACTTGGTTATTTACGCACCAAAGAGTTATCCTCCAGTAACCATTGGTGATAGTGGTAACTATAAATTTAGGATGTTGTGGTCCCAGAGCTAAGAGTCAGGGAACAGAGAGAGAGGAAAGGCCCAGAAAACAGAGTGGTTCTATTTGATCTTTGACTTCAGTGTATCAGGTTCCCACGCTGGGTGCCAGGGTGCAGAATTGAGCAAGACCTGCAACAGCTTAATGTTTATTGCCTGGTAGGAGAAGAAAGGTCCTTTCTCATGAGGTCAGTTGAGTCTTTGTCCACAGAGACTCCCTTAAATTGCTCTGCTTGTAGCCCAACCCTTGACCAGGACATTACTAGTTTTATTGCAGGATTCTCCATGGGGCAGTTAGTTAATTGGTTTGCCTCTGAGAGTCCGAGGCTCTATTAGGAGTCTGACAGAAGTGGGGTGGGCTTGTGATAGAAGACTACTTGCCACCAGCCTGGAGACTTAGTTTGCCCTCTTTAGACTAAGGATTAGGTCAAGTTCTGGATACCTTTAGCCTTCTTTCCCTGCAGGTTGGCATCTGCCTGGATTCATCTGATTCCCACCCAGTTTTGAATACAGCATTTTCTCTTTCCTCCAAATTCCACTGGCTTCTCAGACTTTGCAAAGATTGCAGATTTTCTAGCACAAAACATGCACGCTATCAAAATCAGCAAATGAGTCACAGGCAACCCCTGTGTTTCTTGACTACTTCCCAGTCACCCTCTCGTTTGAATGACTCTTTCTCTTTTCTCATCCATTTAGAGATGCCTTGGCAATGGAGTCCAGTTTCTTTCTAGCCACAACCTACCCCATGGTTCAGCCTACCAGATACGCTGGCCAGGTAGAGAGCTGCCATTGGTGGTGAGTGACCTGGGATGCCAGCAAGCAGGCACGGGGAAGTCTGAAAAGTTGGTCTTTGTTTGCTGGGGAAAGGGGTGGGGCTACTGAGGTTGCAGACATCACCAGGGGCAGCTCAGGGGTGGGCTTCTGTATTAAGAGTTTCAAAGGCTGATAGACCCAATGTTCTTGGTGTCCCAGGAAGTGCTTGGTCAGCCTCCCGCTTGACGTTGTCAGCGACAGCAAAAATGCTCTTGCCTCAAAAATAGCACATAGATCAGCTCTGGTGGCTAGAGAAGGCTGCCCTGTATTGAGCTGCATTTTCCCTCCCTGTGGTTTTAGTGTGTGGGTTCCTCACCAAGCATGGCTGTCCTCTCTTCTGGGAGATAGTCTTTAGCATTGGAATAGAGTTACTCCATTGTTGTGAGTCTTGCTTTCTCCTAGTCACTCCTTTTCAACCATGCTTCTTTTGATGTGTCACATCTGCCCCAAACCTGCTTACTGGGGCAGCCTACAGCCTCTCTTCCTGCACTCACAGCCTCAACTCAACAACTACTTCCTGCAGGCAGCTAACTATCTCCCTGATCCTTTCCTGGGGGTGTCCTAGGTATGGGACAGGCCCTAGTGATTCTCTCCCTTAGTTGTCAGTCCTGTCTCCCCTCCCTGTCCATCAAGAGTTTACAGCCTCAGAGTGTGTGTTCGGGCTGGGGCAAGGTAGTGGAATCCCTTTCAGTCTTAGGGCCTGGGCATCATATGGCCTAGAGGAATGTGAGTGGGCAGGAGGCCTGGCCAGCCCTCCTAACCCTGTACCACTCTACCTTGTGGTTTGACAGGGGCCAGGGAGGCAGTTGTTCTTGATGCTGGTAAAGTGGCCCCCTCAGCCACTGTGTTATGCCCAACACGTGTTAACTGCATGTGGTCACTCCTTGTGACTTGACACTCTTAGTTTTTGCTTAAGCTGTGTGTTGTTTTTCAGCCTGCTACTCTCAACTACACACATATCAAAATAAGGATTTAAATCTAGCTCAGTTTGATCCTGAAATCTATGTTTTTTTATATTTTTTTGTGTTTTTCTTCTGTGCTAAGGATTAAACCCAAGGCCTTGCACATGCTAGGCAAGTTCTCTACATCCCTAGCCCTTGGGTTTTTGAGACAGGGTTTCACTATGTAACCCATATTGACCTTGAACTCTCAAGCCTTTTTGCCTCCATCATCCCAAATCCTGGGATTACAGATGTGTACCACCATGCCCTGCTAATATATGTATTATTTTTAATTGACACATAATTACATGTATGTATGGGATAATGTGGTATTTTAAAATATATACAATGTATAAGGATCAGATCAAGGTCATTGGCATATCCATCACCTCATTAAACATTGATCATTTCTTTGTATTGGAGACATTCAAAATCCTCTCTACTAGTTATTTTGGAACATTCAATTAATTGTTGTCTTCCATTGTTGCTGTGCTACAGAACATTAGAAGTTAGTCCTCTTATCCAACTACACCCCTGGGGCAGCCCACAGCCTCTCTTCCTGCAACATTAACCTGCCTCTATGCATCCCCTCCTTCCCTAGGCCTGTGTTCATGAGCAATGGATGACATTGGCTACTGTACCCAGAGCTTTGCCTCAGGCTTTCTCTTAAACTGCCTTTAGGTGTGTTGGATTTTCCCAAGGGGGGGAACCCTGACCTCTGTGATGGTTATCCTGTGGATGGAGAGAGGGAAACCTGTGTTTCCCAGGCTTTGGATGAGATGGGTGCCAGCTGGGTTCATTGGGAGTGGCCCCAGTTCTCCAAGAGGGGCCAGAGGGAAGTGATCTCACCTCTAGGAGCCCAGGCTGAACTTGGACCTCACCCCATGGAGGCCCCTTTGTGTTGATTTTGCCTTGGGTTATGGGAGTGTGTTTGCCCATGAGGATACAGAGTCCAGCCCATTCCTTAACCTCTATGTTCCCACTATTGGAGAAGGAACCTGATGTTTTGTTTTACTTTTCATATACTTTTTTTTTTTTTAGAGCAGTTTTAGATTTACCAAAAAATTGACAGAAAGTATAGAGAGTTCCCATCTACTTCCTCTCCCCCATCTGGGCACATCATGTCCCTTGTTATTCACTTCTCCCATTGTTATTGTGGGTGACATTTGTTACAATGGCAAGCCAGTCTTGATACAGTGTTACTGACTGAGATCTGTGGTTACCTTCAGGTTCACTTCTGTATTCTCCATTCCATTTGTTCTCCTTGTGACAAACACAAGGACCTCATAGACTCACACAGAGTAGTTTCACTCCCCAAAACTCTGCTATGACCTACCTGTCCATCCCTCCTTCCTCCAATCCCTGACAGCCACTGATCTTTTTACAGTCTCCATAGTTTTGTCTTTCACAATGTCATAGAGTTGGATGAGATGGCGTCTTCCCAAACAGCTAAGATTTCATGTTGTGCCTGGCTTCCTGTAGACTTTTCATTGCTTATAAATGAGGTATTATCTAATACATTGTAAATACTATGTAATATACAATGTAAATGCTACACTGTATTCTTTAGGGAATACTGAGAAGAAAAAAGCTTGCCTGTGTTTAGAACTTTTTTGGTTTTGTTTTGTCTTTTGAGACAAGGTCTCCCTGAATGCCCAGACTGGCCTCAAACTCATGATCCTTCTGCCTCTGCCTCTAGCTAGGATTAAGGCCTGCACCACCAGGCCTGACTCAGAATTTTTTTTTTTTCTTCTTTTTTGATCTGTGGTGTTTGAATCTCTGAATATGGAACCTGTGGGTATAAAGGTTTGCACCCCAGTTTTACACTGGTGGGTGTTTCTTTACTTACTATCATAATGGAGATACATTGATTCACTATTAAACCTGTATCAATGGAGAGAGAAAATTTTAAAATCCCTCGTAGGTACTTGGTAGTTACCAGACATTTCCTTGTGTGTTCTTCCAGTCTTTTAAATTTTTTTTTCTTCTATATTCTTTCTAGTCCAAATCATATTCTTCTGGGAACAGAAAAGGTTTTTTGTCTGGCTTAGTAGATAACATCAAACAAGAATTAGCCAAAAACAAAGAGATGAAAGAAAGTATAAAAAAATTCCGAGATGAGGCAAAGAAGCTGGAAGAGTCAGATGCACTCCAGGAAGCAAGAAGGAAATATGTGAGTCTAACCTTTGCTCTATACCTCCTGCCTAACCCACTTATTCCTAGAACCAGGGTCAGGGCTGCTAGGAAGGTGGCTGCTTGAAAGATAAGGTCGCTACCCTCATGAGAATGAGCCAGGGGACAGGAGTGGTTCACCCAGGCCTCCTGGTTCTGCAGGGCTCTTTATAGCTCAGAGTGTGGTCAGAACCCAGGTGTAGCTCAGTGGTAGAGCACATGCTTAGCATGGAAGAGACCCGTTCCTAGCACTGCCAAAAAAACCCCCTAAATATGGCCACTGAACAGCAGTATCACTTCTTAGAACTGTGCGGCTTGCTGGGGAATGTCTGGCTGACCCATAGAATGAAAGCTTTTTTTTGTTGTTGTTGTGGTACTTGGGTTTGAACTCAGGGCCTATACCTTGAGCCACGCCACCAGCCCTTTTTTGTGATGGGTTTTTTTGAGATAGGGTCTCATAAACTATTTGCCTGGGCTGGCTTCGAACCGCGATCCTCCTGATCCCTGCTTCCTGAGTAGCTAAGCTTACAGGAGTGAGCCACTGGTGTCGGCTAACATGAAAGCTTTGAGCCACACACACTGCTCCTTGGAGCTCCTGGTTGTGGTGATGGAAATTGGGTCACTGCACCAGTGTCATTATTAATTACCACCGCTGTCACTCTTTGAACAGCTGCCAAGGGCCAGCCATGGGACTAGGCTCCATGATTTTATGCTATGTAAAGACCCTGCATCCCCATTTACCAATAAACACCTGAGCCTCAGGAGGTGTACCTTTCCCCAGGCCTCCCAGCATTTTGTTCTTTTGGCCCCAGCCAGGTCCTGGGCAAGGCCCTTTTTCCACTGAGTATTCCCTAAGTTGCTCATTTTGGTGGTACTCTGTGTAGAGTGGAACACCCAGTGGAAGATTGGTTTGCCCTGTTATTAAGGAAGGGGCTGTTTGAGGGCAGAGCAAGGTGGTGACACAAGATCGAGCTGCAGGAGGCTGGAAGGGAGGCGTAGTGAGGTCAGGATCATGCCAAGAGTGGCCCCTGAGATAATGTTGCTGATGACTGGACTGCCACAACCACTTCCTGCCACCTAGAAAAAGACCCAGGGCCAGGGGATCTAGTGCTCAGGAGGTGACTGCCAGGTGGCAGGCATGGGGTAGGAGCTCTATGGGGAGTTTGGGCTGATGAGAAAATGCTTCTGGGGATCTTTGGTTGTAAGATCAACCTCACTTGTATGGAAACAAAAAGAAACACTGTCTTTTACCCTAGAAAACCATTGAGTCGGAGACAATGCGTACCAGCGAGGCGATAAGGAAGAAGCTGGGGGAGCTGACAGGGACAGTGAAGGAGGTAATGGGCAGACTTGACCTGGAGCCATTGGTATTGCCACCCCATTGAAAGCTGAGTCACAGGTAGTTGGGAGCCCGGAGGGGCTGACCAGGCAGCCAGGAGTGAGTGGGGTGCAATGCCTGTGGGTGGTGGCCACAGGCACTCCCAGAAAGCTTCAGGAGTTCAGATACATGGGGCATCAAAGTCACACTGTGGCCCATTGGCAGGGTGGTAACCATCTGAGTCATTGTCATGTGACACTAGCAAAAATAAGACGGTAAAGTGAGGATTTTTGTTCTTCCTGACCGAAAATAAAAGGGGAGGGGATACTGCCACCTCCAGGTGAGGGTGAGGTAGCTTTGCAGCCCTCCTGAAAGGGCAGTGGAGGAGACAGAGTAGGACTGTATATGTCTGAAGGCCCAGCTCAGGTGCCCCCTTGATACTATTCACCCCCTGTCCAACTGCTCCCTTGGAGTCACTGTTGCTGGGTAGTTCCCAAGGCTCTTTCTGCCATGACAGGGTAAAGCCGCTTGACCCAGCATCTGTCCCTGAGCCCTGGCATCCAGCCCTCCAGAAATCCAATGCTGGACACAGCTCCTAGGCATGGGCCTCTCCCTGCCCCATGGGGTGCTGTGCAAGCGCCCGCCTCTCTGTCTGTCTCAGTAGAGTCTTGACGAAGTCAGTAAGAGTGACCTTGGCCGGAAGATCAAGGAAGGGGTGGAAGAGGCTGCCAAGACAGCCAAGCAGTCGGCTGAGTCGGTGTCCAAGGGTGGGGAGAAGCTGGGCAGGACTGCAGCTTTCAAAGCCATCTCGCAGGTGAGCCAAGCTTGGTCCAGACAGACAAGGTGGTGGCAGGGTGGGGCTAGCAGCCACTCCAGTGCCCACCAGCCTGCTGCTTTTTTGGCAGGGAGTGGAGTCTGTGAAGAAGGAGATTGATGAGAGTGTGCTGGGACAGACGGGGCCCTACCGCAGGCCTGAGCGGCTCAGGAAAAGGACGGAATTTGCGGGAGAGAAGTTCAAGGAGGAGAAAGTGTTCGAGCCCAATGAGTAGGTCCCAGATGGTCACCATGCCACCTCTCCTCAGTATCTGTTTTAGGACCCACAGGAGGCCCCTGTACACATCCATTTCTCTGTGCAGGGTTCCTGGCTCCCTTGAGAGATGTGGAGGAAGTGATATGGGTGGGGAGGAGGAAAGGCAGGAAGTGAGGACAGGGTCATTGCAGCCCCTGGGCTTGAAGTCGTCTTCTGCTGTCTCTTCCCATGGGATTGGAAGGGTGCAGGGCTCTGGCCTGGCAGTACTGGGGCTGTGGCTCACACTTGCCACCTGCCATCTTCCCCAGGGAGGCTCTGGGGGTCGTGCTGCACAAGGACTCCAAATGGTACCAGCAGTGGAAGGACTTCAAAGACAACAACGTGGTATTCAACCGTGAGTGTGACCATCCTGCAGGGTCCCAGGCAGGGTGATGGCAGCATTACAATACACTAGTTGGGCACTGGACAGAGCCCCATTTTGCGGAGGAGAAGATGGGGCCAGAGAGGGTTGCTCACTTCCTAAGGGCCACCTGATTGTTTGGCTGTAGATTCTGTCCCCAAGATGCTATGTGATCAGTCCCTCACAGAACAGTTGGGGCACTAGAGTCCTGGTGTTAATGGAGGCCATGGTCAGCCCAAAGCCCCGTGGTAGGCACTGGTTTGTTTTCAGCTGGGCATGGAATTTCCCAGGGACTGAGCAGGAGAGCCATGGGCTGTCCGCCCTTATCCCTTATCTTGTAAGGACCACTAGAGGCCTGTGTTTCCTTTGTAGTGGAAGCAACAGCCAGCAGGGGTGGCACCCCATAATTTGCACAGCCCCTGTAGGGCCACGGCAGAGGGTCTCTGCGGCCTTGCCAGGTAGGTGGGCAGGTAGTGGTCCCCCATGCACAGATGAGGAAGCAGGCTCTGAGATCTGCCTCTCAGAGCTGACTGGTGTCAAGGGTGGGTCTCAATGGGAGCCCCTGAAAGCTGTGGGGTTGGGGTGGCTTTCCAGAAGGGACCCCTCCAGCCCCTCTCCCTATCCCCCACAGGGTTCTTTGAGATGAAGATGAAGTATGATGAGAGTGACAATGCACTAATCCGGGCATCCCGGGCCCTGACGGACAAAGTCACTGACCTGCTGGGTGAGTGCCTAGCCCCAGACCATACTGTCTGTCCTGGCTGGCAGTGGGAAAGGGACCCAGGCCCTGGACTCACTCAGGGCTCCACTCCCTGCAGGGGGCCTTTTCTCAAAGACAGAAATGTCAGAGGTGCTCACTGAGATCTTGCGGGTGGACCCAGCCTTCGACAAGGACCGGTTTCTGCAGCAGTGTGAGAACGACATCATCCCCAACATCCTAGAGGTGTGTGGGTAAACTCAGCATGGCCCCTTCCCCAGGTGGCAGGTCCTCTGGTGGAGGCCCGGGCATGCTGTATCACCTCCCTGTCCCCATGCAGCACCCTGGGTTAAAGTCCGCAGTTACTCAAAGGGAGTTTGGCTGGTGGGGCTGTTTTCTGAGCAGATACAGCACTCCCTGACTCCTGCTTGACTGCAGCTGACCCACAGGGTGTGTTCCTTGCCCTTCCCAGGCTTCAGAGGCCTGACCATGTCCCACTCATGAGAGCAGTCTCAGAAGAGGGAATTGGCCTCACCTGTGGTACAGAGCTAGTGGCTGCGGTCTTGCCTTACCCACAGGGTGTGAGGTGCTCAGGGAGTTGGTTTTCTCTTTCTCCTTGTGCTCAGACAGATATTCCTACCCCCTGCTTACTCCCTGAAACTTGGCCCCAGGCTTTGTGCTGTGGTTTCCATCAAATTCTCTGCCTAAAGTCATTCCCTGAAGGTTGCCCAGAGCAGCCACAGTGGCCAGTAGTGGCAGTGCTACACTCATGCTCTGACCCAGAGTACACTGGCTAGACCTCAGCCGAGAGGCTCAGGGCCACTGTCCGGTAACCCTGACGTCCGCAGTCAAGTCCTTTTGCCCCTCCGGTTTATAAGCAAGGAGGGAATGTCTTGCTCAAGTCATCCTGCAGCCTGCTTGCCACCTTCATATGGTCCCCTCCTCCGATCTGTCTGATCCTACCGCCACTTTGGGCAGGGCTGGGAGGAGGTGGGAAGGGGAGCCATTGCCAGGAGTAGCAGCTGAAGCCCAGGCAGCTTCTCCTGAGGTATGGTATTCTCGGCACTAACTGGGCCACGATTTTCCTCATGAGCATCTGGCTCCTTCATGCTGTTTTCTCTCTCAGCACCTCCCTCATCTTTGCCAGACCCAGTCCTGTGCCCAGGTTCCTGTGGATGTGTCCCACACCTGAGAACCACTCTTTGTAGTCTGCCTTGCCTGTATTTCCCCCACTGTTTGGGAGGTCTGTTCCAGTGGTAGTCCTGGCTGGTCAAAACCTTGTCCCCAGGGAGGCAGGGCTGTGGGTTCAAGAGAGCCGGAAAGGAGCTCCTCACTCATACATCTGAGACCACACAGCTACCTTCTTTCCACAGGCCCCTGGGGACCCATCATGGGGCACCTCTGCAGTCTCCATGCCTTTCCTATGCCTGCACCTAGGCGGCCAGAGCCTCTCTCACACACACACACACACACACACACACACACTCTGCAAGAGCTGCCACTGGTGTCACCTGACTGGTCCCTCCTTTCCTTCTCAGATTTAAGCCTTCAGATTGGGGCCCAGGGGTCTCTAGGAAAGGCCCCCACCAGAGAATGTCCTCAGGAGTTCTCCTGCTGCAAAAGCCTGCTCTCCTTGTGCTTATTTTTTATCTTTCCTTTTTAGGCCATGATTTCTGGAGAGCTTGACATTCTCAAAGACTGGTGCTATGAAGCTGTGAGTTTTCTTCTTTCTTTCTTTTTTTCCGACAAAAAAAAAAAACACAGGAGGACTGAGCATGTGACTCAGGATACAGTGCTTACCTAGCACACATGGGGCCCTGGTCCCATCCCCAGCACCAGAAAAAGAAACCAGAAAGCAAAGTCACAATGTGGAGTAGGAGGTCTGCTTGGGGACTCCTTTAGGGAAGATAGCACAGGGCTGTGGTGGGACCTTGTTTCTGATATGTGTGGTTCTTGAAGATTCCAACAGCCCACCCTTCCGTCCCTTCCTTAGTGTGGTACATCTGTGCCTGTGAGCTGGTACTGGGTCCTCTGCTTCCAGACAGTGAACTCCCCAGTCAGGAATGATTCCATTCTGGCTTGGTTCCTGAGAGACAGCCCAATTCCACAGAGCTGCCAGTTTTCCTGGGCCTTCCCCTAGTCCTCATCTTCAACTAGTTTTAAGTAAGAAGAGTGGGGAGAGGCAATTCAAGCCATGGGGGTTCCAGAGTGGCCCTTTGTGCCTTTTCCTCCCCTGGTCAGGTCTCTAGGAGTAAGATCCCATGGCTGAGATGGCCTGGGGTATGTGTGGGCTGGGGACTTAGAAGTCAGGGAGAGGGTGCTCCCAAGTCCTGTGCATAGTGATTGTAGGTACTGGGCCCATCCTCCATCCCTTGACACACTTAGGGGGTCGTAAAGGGCAAATTATACACAGAAGCACAAAGTGCCGGACAGATCCATTAGCTGTTCTCACAAGGTTCCGAAACACAGATCAAAACAATGTGGACAGACTTCCCGCCTGGGGAGGAACGTCGTGTCCTGACAAGGTCCTGACAGCTTCCCGGAGTCAAGGCTTAGGGTCTTAGGGCCACCATCAGAGCTGGGGTGCAGACAGGCCGGCGGGCGTGCCCAGGAGCACATGCTGTCTGCCCCACTCCTGGCAGCCTTCCCATCCCTGTGGGGCTCCTGGCTCCTGTCTGGTCAGGCCACCTCAACTCATCCTGTCACTCCCCAATCTGCCTCTTCAGGCGTTTTTTTTTTTTTCCTCCCTCCCAGCTTCTTTATATGAAGCAGTCCAGAGACTTTTGGCTCATTCTATTCTGTACCCAGCTAACAAACAACTTGGAGAAGGCATAGAAGAGAAGATACTGTCAGATTTTCTTTTTCAGTACTCCCCTGCACGGTGACTAATCCAGCAGGCATTTATGAGTTGTTGTGTTTCTTTTTTCTAACTTTGGTACCATTAAGCTGCGGCTGATCATCTTTGCCAGAGAGCAGCTGGTACCCCTGGACTCATGGCTGAAGTCCCAACTGCTTCCACTGAGGTGTTTTTAAAATGCCATCTTGAAGAAACCCACCAAGCAGGATTGGCCCTGTTTCTTTTCCTCAGTGGATCAGTTATTTCCATAAAAAGTAGAGGCCTTGAGTGTCTTCCATCCTAGCTGCCTGCCAAGCCCAGAGAAGCTGCTGGTCGTGGCACAGCAGGGGGTGGAGGGGGTCGTGGACATGCGGGGGTGGTCTGTGAGAGAGGCTGCCCTAGGCAATGAGTTCCAGGGCAGCCCACGGGTTTAGGACAAATCCTAGAAAAGACTTTTCATTCCAGCCAAAATTCCAAGTGAGGTGAATATGGAATGTTAGAGATCAGCCAAGGATCCACCCACTTACCCAGGGAGTATATTTTGGATCATGTTCCAGAATTACCCACTTGGCTGATTAATACTTCTTTCACTTGGGCATCTTGCTCTTTCCATAACAAGAAGCAAGCCTATGGTTCAGGCCAGCAAGGCGGTGGCACCTGCCTCTTGCTTAGATCTTGGCCTCTACTGCTCTTGGTGTTAGTTGACACACACTTGGGGAACTGGGACATGTGGACATGAGTGCAGCTGGGGTGTCACCTGCCCTCAGTGGTCATCCACATGGGCCTATCGGCCTCTCGTTGCAGACCTACAGCCAGCTGGCCCACCCCATCCAGCAGGCCAAGGCCCTGGGCCTCCAGTTCCACTCCCGTATCCTGGACATCGACAGCGTGGATGTAAGTGCCCCTGTGGGTCGACCCCCAGAGGGCGGCTGGAAACTGCTGGTCACAGTCAATGCCTGCTTGACACAGGCAGGCATTTACAATTAAATGACCTGCAGGGTTGCTTTTTTGCACAAGGCTTCAAAGGTTAGAATATAGTCCATCCCCAATTGTTGTTAAAACTATACTTCAAATTTTGATTCAAAATTCTGTATAATAGCCAGGTGCTGGTGGCTCATGTGCGAAATCCTTGGTACTCAGGAGGCAAATATCAGGAGGATCTTGTTCAAAGCCAGCCCTGAATAAAGAGTTCTCATGACCCTATCTTGGGGAAAAAAAAAAAAAAATCACAAAAAAGGGCTGATGGAGTGGCTCAAGATGTAGGCCCTGAGTTAAAGCCCCAGTACGGGGGTTAAGTGGGGGGGGGGGGGATTCTATGTAATGAGCCAAGCATGGTGGCTTATGGCTTACGTCTGTAATCCCAGCACTTGGGAGGCTGAGGAAGGAGGTTGGACAGTTCAAGGCCAGCCTGGGCTACATAATGAGACTCTATTTCAAAAATTAAACTAGTCTTTGTGTTAGATGATGTCCAGCATTAAGCCAGTGAACATTGTTCTGAGCACATTTAAGATCGGCTAGGTCAGATGCTCAGTAGGTTAGGTGTATTGCAAGCATTATTTTCAACTAGTTTTTCAGAATCAACTCCCATCATAGGTCCAGGAGCACCTATGTTCTTGGGTAGCTGGGGGGCATTGCCCAGACTTCAGCTTCCTGAGAGCCCCATAAGCAGTGATAGCCCTGCACCTTCCCAGGGAAAGGCAAGAGTTTTGTCACTACAGCGAGGTGCCCAGGAGGCAGCTCTGCCCTGATCTCCCAGATTTCCTCCCTATGGGGAGCTGCATGCATGCCACGGCCAGCTCCTTGTCCCTTCAGCCTTTATGATCTGATGACCTGAGTCCAGGGACAGAGAAGCCCCGTGAGTGTCTTACAACTGAGGCTCTGGACTTGTCCAAAGAAAGGGTCTTCCCCCCCCCCCCAAAGTGGGCTGGGCTGGGCTGGGGAGGGGCATATGATGCCCTCAGCAGGAGGAGGACAGGCCATTCTGAAGCCCACATGCCCTCTCTACTTCCTGCAGCTGGCCATGGGCAAGATGATGGAGCAGGGCCCGGTGCTGATCATCACCTTCCAGGCCCAGCTGGTGATGGTGATCAGAAACCCCAAGGGCGAGGTGGTCGAGGGTGACCCGGTGAGTAGGGGAGTTGGAGATTGGGATAGGGACAGCCTACCACACCCAGGACCCTGCCTGTGGTCACCTGACACACACATCAGTCCTGTGACCTGTGTGGATGAGGAGAAACCCTGGGGTGGGAGTTGGGGGCCTGGTGGATATCAGAAGACCCCACCAGTCACCAGTCATGCCTCTCCTTGCCGTTGCTGAGTGGCCCCTCCTTGATTGCTTACTCTACCTGGTCTCAGGACAAGGTGCTGCGCATGCTGTACGTGTGGGCGCTCTGTCGAGACCAGGATGAGCTCAACCCCTATGCAGCCTGGCGTCTGCTGGACATCTCAGCCTCCAGCACAGAGCAGATCCTGTGAATGCCCAGCTGCAAATGGAGCTCCAGGGCTGGATAGTGTGGCAGGCACAGGCACACTACTCAGGGCTCTGCCCCCAGCTCTACCATGGCAGCTGCAAAATCAGCTGGACAAGGAAGGGGCCACAGGCTGTGGAGGGTGCCTCGTGGGGATTGACACTCCCCATGGTGCCACACGGGCGCTCCTGATGGCTGGTCAGCACGGGCACACCAGTCATGCAGTGCCAAGAGGCCCCCAGCCCAGGGACTCCCCTGGAGGGCAGGGTGGTGGGGGCCTGCCCACTACTTCAAATGGCCCACTGGCCACGCCAGCCAGGCCATTTTAGGTCTGTTTTTAATTATATCAGTGCTCTTACTTACTGTATATAAGCCTGAGATTTGGAAATAAAACACCAAAGTGCAGAAAAGCAGCTTGCATGGTCTGAGGTGTGTGTCTCTGGCAGGGACTCTGGGATGGAGGGGGTGGGGGAAGCGGTGGGAGGTGGCCAGCTGGTTCTGGAGAGCAGTCAAGGTCAGTGAAGGAACTGCAGCCCCAGAGGGGCCTGCCTTGCTGTGGCCAGGACCCTGCCCCTTGTTTTGGGGAGGCCAGTGACAAATACTAGAGGGAATTAGTCCCCCAGGAAACCTGCCTAGGGTCTGTTGGGCTGAAGAACTTGAACGCCCGCGAGTGATGTGGAAGGACATTAGCACAACCTCCCTCCCTCAACAGTCTAGGTGAAGGGTCTTGCAGGGAATGGGGATGTGGGTGCTGAGGTCAGGCAGGGGGTGGCCGAGGTGAATGTGGGCGGGACTGCCCACGTCCGGACGAAGTCCTGGGTGTTCAGGGGCCTCCGATGTCCTGGTGACTCCACAGACTCCAGGGGCGGGGGCTCTGGTCTTCTGCAGACTGGGGCGGGGTCGCGGGCCCACGCGCCGCTCCCTGCGCAGCCTCCGCCCCCATGACGGCCCCGCCCCCGTCACCATGGGAACAGCCGCGGCGGCCGGGCTGGCGCGCGGCTCGCCTGCCTCGGTCTCCTCCACTCCAGGGGCGGGTGGGGTGGGCTGAGCTCGGGCTGCTGCCGCCGCCGCCGCTGCTGCCAGCGCCACCGCCGCCGCCGCCGGGGAGAGACCGGGAGCAGAGTCGGCGCAGGTTTTGAGAGAGCGCGGCCGCCAGGCTGCCCGTGCCTGTCTGGGTCGAAGCCAGGGTGAGGGGCGCGCCGGGCGGGGGCGGCGGTGGGGGAGGGGGTCCCAGGCCGCGGAGAACAAAGGGAGCGCAGCGCGGATAGCGGGGACTCGTCCGCGCTGTGTTGCCCAGAACCCGGGCTGCGCGTTCGCACCTGTTGTGCGCGGGCCGAGCCGGCCTGGACTCCTGTCTCCACTCTCAGCGCCCCTACCTGCGCGCACGGCCGGAGTTGGGTCCCCGCGTGGCGATGGCAGCAAACCCTTGGGCCGGGCATGGGCGTAGCCCGGGGATGGCGGCGGTGGCTTGGGATGTTGCGGGATACGACAGGGGGCGGAGGCAGGAGGGGGCGAGGCGTTGGCGCGGGAGGGCGTAGTTTCATCCCCTCGCCGACCCCCTCTTCCTCAGGGCACGCGGCGATGTGAGCCATGAGCGCGACGTGGACGCTGTCCCCGGAGCCGCTGCCGCCTTCGACAGGGCCCCCGGTGGGCGCGGGCCTGGACGCGGAACAGCGCACCGTGTTTGCCTTCGTGCTTTGCCTGCTCGTGGTGCTGGTGCTGCTGATGGTGCGCTGCGTGCGCATCCTGCTCGACCCCTACAGCCGCATGCCCGCCTCGTCCTGGACCGACCACAAGGAGGCGCTCGAGCGCGGGCAGTTCGACTACGCGTTGGTGTGAGGGGCCCAGCCTGGACTGCGCTCAGGATTCCGCCCAGATCTGCTTGCCGGTGGTTGAGGGCGTTAGGACAAGTCCAACCGCTCCCCTCCTAATCCCCGCTCATCTCCCCTCCTGGCCTGGCCGGACCCCCATCTCTGTGCCTTTATCTGTCCTTTCCCTCACTCTCTGCACACTGTCCCTGCCGGCTGGTACCCCAACTCTGAATCCCAGGCGGAAGGAGGACCCCCGCACCAACTCCCTTCTTCCCCAGCTTGCAAGTGAGTCTGCTATTGCCCTGCTGCCAGGCATGAATGTCACGTCCTTTACTGGGCGTGAGGGTCCCCTTGTCCCCCGCTCCCTTCCCTGTCTTCTGACCTTCCCCAGTTTCATCATGATGGAGTGTTGAATCCCTCTTTGAGCTCTGACCTGCGGGGCAGCTCTCCCTGGCTCACCGGGCAGACGCTGCATACCAATGATGGCCTGCACACCCTGCTCTGAAGATGAACCTGAAGACACTATGGCTGTGGTGTTCAAGATATGTGGTGCTTTTGGTGGAGGAAGAGTGCGAGCAAGCTTATCCCCGCCCCCAGCCCTGGCCCCAGCACAGGTCAGCGCCCCTCCCTCCTACCCACCTCCGTCCCCCATCTGCCCTTCTGCCACCTTCCCCTGGCACCCCTGCCATCCTTCCACTTCCCTCCTATGCCTTTTCATTTCTCTCTGCCTCTGAGCGATGAAGATGATAATAAAAGCTATTCTTGAGCGCTTACTGCATGCCAAGTAGTGGGCTGAATTAGCACCTCCTGTTTCTAACCTTTCCTTTTTGCTCTCCGGGATGGTGAGAAAGAGCCAGACCTTCTAGCATGTCCATTCTGCAGGCCAGGGGAGAGAGGTCCTGGCAGCTAGAGCGATTGCCCTTAGCCATGTGGCTAGTGTTCACTCAGGCTGGCAGTGGAACCCAGGTCTGGCTTTTGTATGTTCATAACTGCTGCCAGGTCCTGCAAAGTCACCCAAACTCACATGCACTGGCATTGAGGGCTGATGTGTATAACCATCTTGATTTCTCCAGCTCCAGGCACAGCTGAGAACCCCCCTCCCCAAACCACACTCTTTTTTTGTTCCCTTGATCTGGCAAGCTGGGATGAGGTGCCCTCAGACTGCCCTGGAAGTCAGCCCCAAGAATGGCACCTGCAGCCCCAAACCTCCTGCCCTTATCAGCTTGTGTGCCTTGGAACCTGTGGGGCTGGCACTGTGGGGCTGTAACTACTGAGTGAGCTGGCTCTGCTCCACATTCTGCCCGGGAGATGTGTTGTGTGCCCCAGGGGAGCCGTGTGCAATGTGTGTGGGGGAGAAACTACTGTTTCCATAAAAAGCCGTGAGAAGGCACAGCTCAGTGAACAGAAAATTTACCTACTCAGAGGACTAGTTAGGCTTGGGGGAGGGTGCTGCCGAGGAACACCTACTTCCTCAAGAAGAACCATTTTCCCCCAGGCCTGTTCTCTACTCCATGCCTACAGGGCAGGTGCATTTGCTGCTTGGAAGCCCAGCACCCTCAGGAATGTGGGGTCTTGGGAATCAATAAGGAATTCAGCCCCTCTCTCCAATGCCCTGCTCCCTGTATCTAAGATCCCTCCAGCTCAGCCTCCCTCCTCTCCCAACTTCTACAGTTGTTGAGGCCCCAAGGTGACTTCCAAGAACACCATCCCCTCCTTCCTTCCAGTCCCTAGCTTAGCCTCCTTTGAGTCAGGCCCTTGCTCCCTGACTGACTCTGGCTGCCAAGCCCCTTGATGGCTTCTACCTTCCATCTGGATGTGACATTGCTCCATTCTGAAAACTTGTCTCTGACACCTGTCCCCTTTTGAGCCCTGCCTGGCTCTCCCTCTTCCCATCCACACTTGTCAAACCTCCATATTGTCACCAGTGGGCTCATGGCCAAACCGAGGTCACTCTAGGCAAGGACTGCACCATCCTCCCCAGCATCTCTGTCCCCAAAACTATGGGACCTTCAGAGCCCCCACTCCTATCTATCTAAGTCATAGGAAAAGTACAGCAAGTCAGGTACACAAGAACTTTTATTTAAGGTCACAGGACACCCCAGGAAGGGAAGGAGGGAGGAGCTGGCAGTGGGGAGCACTGGACAGTGGTCAGTTGAAGAGGCCTAGGGGAATGCAAACAGGAGGGCATGTGATGGGGGGCTATGGTGTGGGTACCAGCTATGGCTCCCTGGTAGAGAATAAGGCACAGCTGGGCTTGGGAAGGCATCCATGTGTCCAGGAATTCAGACTGTGAGTGTGTAGAGTCCTGTGACCCCGTTCTCCATTACTCCAGCTGACTACCCCCAGGGAGCCCCTTGTACAATTAACTGAAGGTTTAGCTCACGGCTGAGAGCCATGTCAGGGAACTTCCACAACAATCCTCATGACAACCCAGTGCCAGCGGTGCAGGACTGAGGGCCCCACCTGGAAGTGAGGTATATCCTACAACTGCTGTGCCCCTCACCTTGCAGGGGTGGCCACCCTACCCAGGAGCTTTAGGGGCACCAGGAAGGGGTTCAGGGGGCAGATCCCAGCTGCTTGCCAGGTTGATTTCAGTTCTCTGGGCTCAGAGGCTTGTGGAGTAACCTGGCCAGGCTCCTCTGGTCCCCTAATGCCAGGCCCACCATCTTCAGCCCCAGGTCTAGGGCTCCCATCATGAGGGCTGGGCTGGGGGGCCATCAAGCGAGCATATGTTTCAGCCATATGCTCCGCTAGGGCTGTGCAGGGCAGGCGTGGCAGCTCCTCGGGAGCGACATGAGCAGGTCAAGGACCACAGCTGACTCTGGTAATGGAGGAAAAGGGAAGGAGTGAGGGGAGGGCAAGGCCTGAGCCTGGAACCCCTCCTCCTCCTGCCAGTCCTTCCCTTCCCTTTCCCTACTCACCAGCTGCTGAGAGCTCGGGACCACGGCCACTTCGGGAGGAGAAGGACAGGTATTTGTAGATTTTCTCAAAATCCACAGTAAAGTCTTCCTGAATGGAGGGGCCAGCCAGGGATTCGGCTTGTGCCTCAGGGGCAGAGCCAGAGGCCTCAGGGGTGGAGCCAGAGGTCTCAGGGGCGGGGCTGGAAGCCGCAGAAGTAGGGTTCTCTTGCCCCCTGGTGGTGCTTAGAGGCAGCGGCTTGCCATGGGCCTTCGTGGGCTTGGGGGGCTTGGAGTGCAGAAGGCTGAGGGGTTCCGTAGCAGCAATGGTGAGCACCTAGCAGCAGAGCCATCAGGGAAGGAAGAGAGAATTATTCCATCTTCCACTGCCCTGCCAGGGGAGGCAGAGCCCTCTACTTCCATCCACTCACTAAATCTTCCCTGCCACAATGAGGAAGATGGCACAGACAAAAGACGGCTTCACAGACAGGGACACAGACTCAAAGGTGTCTAGTGCCTGGTTGGGGTCACCAAGCTGGCAAGAAGGGCCCAATCAGGACCCTGATCCACCTTGTTTTGTTGCTCTACCAGTGACCCCCCCCATTTCACAAGTCTCACCTTATCTGGACTCATATTTACGACTCTGTTCCCTGGTACACCCCTGACCTGCCTGGGAGATAGTGGTACCTGAGAGAAAGCTGTGGTCAGGGCTTCCTCCAGTGGACCTGTTATCTTCTCTGCCAGATCCATCCATACCTGGGTGAAATCAGTACACAGATCTTGATCAGCCAGGAGGGATCTCCCACGCTCTGCCCGTCCTGGGAGTTCCCTGGCCAGGTTATCCCCCCTCTACTAGAGGCAGTCCTAGAAGCCTTTCCTTGGCTACCTGCCTTACCTCTATGGGGGCTGGGGTCTGTGCCTCTCGGCTTCTTGGACCCTGTGAGCCACCTGGATGCACCCTCCGAATGGCCTCACGGACCACCCGGCCTTTGAGCTGCTGGAGGAAGTCCCGGATCTGAGAGAGAAAGAGGAGGAGATCGAATGGGTCTTCTATGAGCTCAAGGATGGAGAGACTCCAAAGTCCACTGTCATACTTGCTCCCTTTTTCTGTTTGGTGTCATGAATTCCTGAGATTCTGCGCGACTCAGACCAAGGCTCCAGAGTGTGACCAGCTACTTAATGAAGATGGAAGAACCAGTCTGTTCTGGCTCCTCCCTGCAGGCAGAGCCGGTCCCTACTCACTTCCACTCCACCCCATTTCCTGACTCTCATTTCATCCTCACTCTCGCTTCCTCCAAAATGGTCTTTTACCAAGTGTCCAGCCCCCACCTCCTCTTACTCCTAGTTGGCCCGTCTCTAATTTTCTACTGGCCTGACCGCTTAGCCTCACACTACTCCCAAGCCTTACTCACAAGCTCCCTCCGCCCACTCCCCCGCCAAGGACAGACCCCGCCCCTCAGGCTCCTCATGCCCTGCCCCCGGAGAGGCCACGCCCATCCGGCTCGCCCATTCACATCCAGCCTCAGCTGCACGACGGCCTGCAGCAGCCGGCGGTAGCCCCGCCCCTAACTTTACCCTCGTCCCACCCACTCCTCCGCTAAGCCCGGTCCAGGACACACTCTAGCCCCGCCCCCAGCCCCACTTCTATACCGGGACCAGCGTCTCACCTCGGCCTCGGTCCGGCCCGGCAGCTCCCGGACCAGCTCGGCGGCATCTGGCTCCGGCTGACCCCGCCGAGCCTGCAGTAGTCGCAGTAGCTGCCGCTTCTCGCGGGGACTCCAGGGCGTGGGACCGGTCACCTCCTTCAGATAGCGTGCCGGGGCCGCTCGCCGCCGCTGCGGTGGCTTCATGTTGCTCAGGACTCCGGCGCTTTAGGACCGCTTCTCTGGTGGGCGGAGCTACGGAGGCCGCGGAAGCCAGAAAGCTCCGCGCGGAGGCGGAAGCGGATGGGGGCGTGGCTCGCGTTTGTAGGTGGCAGGAGCAGCTTTCGTAGAAAGGAGGCGGGACTGGCGCTGAAACTGAGGCGGGGGCAAAAAGAGACCCTCGGTCCGCCTTTTATCTGCCTCCTGAACTGGAGCACTTTGGATCTCGTGTCCTACTTACATTTCTGAACTAACTCATGAAACTCCTACTGCATATTTGGCTTCTCACAGAAGAGTAGGCAGTCATGGCCAAGAGCCTGGGCTTGCCCCGGGCCTGGTGATGCACGCCTGTAATCCTAGCACTCCGGAAGCTGAGGCAGGAGGAGCGTGAGTTCGAGGCCAGCCAGAGCTACATAGACCCTGGCTAAAAAACAAACAAAATCCCCAAAACCTGGGCTATGAGGTCGGACAGCTCTGGGGACCTTCGACAAGTGATGTAGCCTTGCCGAGCCTCAGTTTCTTCATCTGTAAACTGCGAGAATAGTTGCAGTCTTGTCTATGCTCAGAGGAGGGAGGAACTCGGGCAGGAGGAATTTAAGGAACTCTAGGCTAAGAGGAGTGCAGAGGCCAGATCAGCGAGGGGGAACGAGCGATGGCATGGTCCAGGAGGTGGAAGTGAGGAGTAGAAAAGGCCCAGATGGGGGAAGATGGAAGGTGGCTGGTGGGCTGGCATAGGAGTGAAGGAGAAGGCGGGGCTTATTTTAAACTTAAACTGTTAGGGTTGGGTGCCACTTTCTGTTTGGAACAAAACACCCTTGATTCTCCCTTGACACGTGTATGTGGGCGTAGGCGCCCCGCTCCTCCAGTCCAGACCTTTCCTAGCCCCCTCTCCCCGTTCTGGTCCCAGGCATCCTCCCCTCCCCCCACCGCCATGCGCCCATCTTGATTCCACCAGAACTCAGCAGGGCAATACATAGTTTATTTTGAGCCCAGGTGGGAGGGGGGAGATGGAGGGAGGGGGGAGATGGAGGGAGGGGGGAGATGGAGGGAGGGGGGAGATGGAGGGAAGGGGGAGATGGAGGGAGGGGAGAAGCGCAGAAGTCATGGTTCCAGAGTCGCGTTCCAGGGCGGCGAGTCCGGTCCTGGCGGGCCTAGCCCTGAAGCCATGGCTGGCTGCACCTCTGGACCCCGCTGGGGCACGCCATCCCTGGGGAGGGGTGGCAGAGGTTGCACGAGAGCGGGAACATTACGTAGGCCACCCTTTTCCCAGTAGGCATTGCCCTCTTTCATCAGTCTATGTGTCGGGATAAGACTGGGAACTGGGTCTGAGTCCCACATTTTCCTCTCCTACTGTCTGTCTGAAGTTTGAGGACCTTTTTTGTTTCCATTCAGAGCCCGCAGTTCGTCGCGGCTGGCCCCACTCCCTGAATTCGAATCCCACTGCCACCTGAAGTTATGACCTTTGACGAATTGCTTAACCTCGTTAAGTTATATGAGTGCCTCACTTTTCTCATCTCTAGTGGGGATTTTAATAGCATCTACCTAAAGGTCATTAGGAGTATTAATGTGTATGAAATATTTGTAGCTATGCCTCGCAAAAGAGTAAGCTCTATGAAGGGCCATTATCACTCCCTCCCTCCCTTCTCAAGTTCTTGCTCCAGATCTCCCTGCTCCAAACTTACCTGCCTCACTGGGGTCTCCGGGGCTGGGGACCGCTGGGCGAGGCTCTTGCTGGCGGGCGGGGGGGCGGGGGCGCTGGAAGGAAAGGTGGTAGTGGGGTTGCCGCGCGCTGCGCCAGGGCACGCGCGCCCTCTGGGGACTGCTGCGGGCGTAGCAGAGGCAGGTCTAGGGATGTCCGGCCGTCCCCGGTCTGGGCGGTGGGAACTGGCTAGGGACTCGCGAGGGCAGAAGTCCGATACCTGAACGTGCGCAGACCAGGCCAAGCCCGGCGGCTAGCGCGGCGCCCAGCACGAAGGCTGCCAACACCAGCGCCACCACTGGCGCGGGCTCTAGGGCCACCGGGGCTGGAGCGGGCGGTTCGGGGCGCAAAGCCCTGCCTGGGAAGCTCTTGGGCGGCCCTGTGGAGAGTGCAACGCTGAGACTGGGCCCAGGATCAAGATGTCCTCCCCACTCAGGCCCTACGGTCCTCTGCAGGGGAGGAGTGCGAGCTTACTGGGGGGCGGCCGCGGTACTGTGACCACGATGGGCTGCGTCAGCGTGTGCAGGTGGGGGTTGTCTGCACCAAGACTCTCGCCGCTGCCGCTGGCGCCCGCACACGCCTCATCCTGAGGCAGACACTGGGGGTAGGCGGAGGGAAGAGACGGGGACGTCAGGGCCTGGCGATACTGGGTCTGGCCACTGGGGCTCCTAAGACAGACCTAAGCGTCCAACTCTCCGCCGAAGCCAGGAGACCACTATCCCTTCCTGAGCCCATAGATATACAAGTGGCTGGACGCCTACCCCCCCAAAAAAACCCCAAATGTCAGCAAAGGTCACATGATCCGACTCTTGGCACCTAGCCAGTGAAGCCTAACATCAGATTTAGCCCCGTCGCAGGCTTCCGTATCCAATCTCCAGGCCGAGGGACTTCAGGCCCCTCCAAAGGGTGCCAGAGGCCTGTCCACTAAGGAATCTAGTGTTCACTTCCTGTTCTCCCTGAGGAGTCCTTGCGAAGAGCCCCAAGGGCCTCCGGGAGTCTCTGCATCCAGCCCCAGCCTTAGCCCTGAGGGTTCCCTGCTCCAGAACCCAAAGCGCTCCGACCCTTCCCGGTCCCCAAATCCCGAGGAGCCCCTCCCCGAGATGCCAGACGCTAGTGTCCAGCCGGTGAGGTGCCTCGGCGCCCAGATTCCCGGCTCTGCGCGCGCACCCGCGATGGCGGTAGCGGGGTCAGAGGCGCAAGCGTCCGGCGGCCTCCCCGGAAGCGGCGGCAGCGGCTCAGCTGGCAGTGCAAAAACTGCACCGAGGCGTTGAAGACCGGGCGCAGGCGGAAGCTGAAGCGTGCGGGGAGACCCGCGGCATCCGGGTGCGGCCGTGGTGGGAAGGCGACCGAGGCGTCAGCAGGGCAGCCCCCGCGCAGCAGCACCAGGGCAGGCCCTGGGGCCGGGCGTGAGGACGGCGTCACTGAGCAGCGGTGCAGGGCCAGGCCCCACCGCGCGGAAGGACGGGCCAGAGCCGCCTGGGGGACGGAGGCGTCATCAGGATCGCCCGGTCCCCACCTGTCCCCACCCGCCGTCTGTCCCGCCGAGTGTCCGCACCTGCACAAACACACGACTGTCGGCCGGGACTTCGAGCGGTCCGGCGCGCCTCGGGAAGGCGTCCTCTGCGTCCGACAGCTCCAGAATGAAAAGGGGTCTGCGCAGCCAGGGGCCAGGCGCCCCGAGAAATGGGGGTGCTGGTGAAGGGGGGGAAGGCAGCACAGAGGAGGGAGAACACACTCCTCCAGTCTCTCCAAGAAAGAGCCCCGAACTCCTGCCCCAACGCCTCCTTTGGAAAAGGGATGCGCTTCTGATGGCCCGTTCACCATGCTCGACTCCCAAAGTGGCTAGTTACTGAGCTGTTCCCCTAACCACCCCGAGACATTACAACCTAGCAGCTGAGGCCCCACGCAAAGCTGTGTGCCACAGAGGGAAGGTCCTTCATTCTCGACTTCTATTTCTCCATCTACCGAGTGGGCGAGGGAATCCCAGGGCAGAGTTGAAGAGCGCCAGATGGCGGTCTCTGGATTGCTCTTACGGGTGCAGCAGGGCCTGCTGCTCGCTTTCTAAGGGGAGGACAGGAGCATGCCCACCTGGAAGCTTTTCTGAGCAGAGCCACAGCCTAGCCAGACCCCTAGGGTCTTGGGTTTTCTGTTCATTGGAGCCTCACACTCCCAGACTGTGGGTTGCAGAAGCCACAGAGCGCTGGGGTCTCCTATGTGACCCCCAAACACACTAGTCTGGCCTGCGGGCAGTCATCTGTCTTCATGTGGCACTCAGCTGGGGTCATCAAATAGGTCTGCACACCTGTCCCCACTCCTATAGTCCTTGTCTTCACCTGGCTATGGGGACTCTGAAGAAAAAGCTGCTAGTTTGTAATGTCTCAGGGTCACTAAGGGGATAGCACAGTAACTAGCCACTTGAGTAGAGCATGGTGAACAGGCCATCAGAAGCCAGCCTGGGGACAGAAGATAGAGCAGAGCCCACCATAACTCCCTATCCCCAGGTGCAACAGATAAGGTCAAGGTAAGAAAGGACACTAGGGAGTGACAGCATGATGGCCCAGGGTTACACCAGCCTCTACATACCAAGTGGCCCATCAGGCAAGGTGGAGGTCCCTGGGAGCAGGGCCAGGAGCAAGAGTGGGGTGCCCAGCATACTGGACTCCCTGAAGTTGGTAGTTCCAGGTCACCAGTGAAAGGACCTGGCTGGACTGCACCCAGGCCCTGCAGAGGAGCAAGCAGCCCTGTCCTTGGCAGGGCAGCCACCCTCGAAAGCGGGGGTGGAGAACTGAGGGGCTGAAATCTGAGCAGGTGCCCAAGGCCTTCAGGGATTAAGGGCTCCTTTCCAGCTCCACCTGGGACTACTACAGAGAAGGGGTCCCTTGCACAAGCTGCTTCATAACAAGTCATTCTGAACACCTCCCACTTATCCAGCCCCAAACCCTGCCTCAGTTTCCCCTCAATGAAGAGTCCTCATCCACCAAAATGGCACACCCCAGCCCCTTCCCAATCTTCCCTGCCAGGTCCTACCTGGCTCGGGACACACCACAGACTCAGAAGAAAAGGGAGGATTTTATTCTCAAGCATCTTAAGGACTTACAAACGTGGGCATTTTGTTTAAAAAGGGACAGGGCAACACTAGCTGTCTGAGGAATTTGAGGAGTCCGTGGGCCAGGGGCCTGGGTCAGGCCACCCCAGGCCCCTGCTGGCCCCATCCACCCTCTGCCTGGTCCAGAGGGATGGCTGGTGATGGGAGATCTTGGGAGAGGTGGGGAGGTAGGAGACTTCCCCTGGGCTCCCAATTAACACTGAAAAGGGGGCTGAGGGTAGACACACACTCACAAAACAGAAAATAAAAGTTAAAGATAAAACCAGGCAACCCAGCCTTAGGCCTGTGTTGGCCCTGGAACCAGTCTAGCAACCTTCCAGCTACAGAGAGGCCCCCATGGCTAGCCTCAGTGAGGTTGAGGGGCCAGGCCTGTTGGCCACTCCCATATCCCCTCACAAAGGGGACAAGGGGCAGAGAGAAGATGACTTCTATTACACTTTAAACATGCGACATTTTGTGAATACATAAGTCAATATGATAGGTAAGAGGCCATAGTGACGGCTAAGCCTATGCTGCTTCAGCTACATCCAGCAAGGTTCCTCACCTTTGGTGTTGGTTGGGTTTTGTTTGTGGTTTTATGTATATATTTTTTTCTTTTATTATTTTGTTCTCTTGTCCACTTGATCTGCATGCATTACCAACAAAAAAGAAACACACCCCATCCTGCTCTGGCTGCTGCAGTGGGCTCTGGGGCACCACAGCCTGGGTCCTGGGGTAGATGCCTGGGGTGGATTCTTCCCTAACCCAGACCTCAAGGTGGGCTCAGGCTGGCCAGCTCCGGGTGAGCTGAGGGATGCTCAGGGGCATGATGGGGTTAGCCACTTCACAGTCCCATACCCTGGCCTGACCTTCCCCTGCACTCATGCCTGTCCCTCTTGTCCCTGTCACACATCCTCGAACCTCCACAACCACTCCTTTCACTCTTGATCCCTGACTCCTTCCTCACCCACCCCCATCAGCCCCCCTAGCCCCACTCCTGTCATCGATTCCCTTCAGCAGCCTCCCTGTCACCTGCTCCTCTCTTCTGCACCCCCTCCTCACCCTCCCTGAAGGCCATCTTTGTGGCCGAGGCCCCTTGGGCTCCCTCTGTGCCGCCTGAGCTCTTCAACTCACCCCCAAGCTATGGCCAGTCTCCAGCCCTTTGGGAAGAGCTGCTCCCTGGAGCCCAGCCTTGGGTCTCAGCTCTCCTGGGCCTCTCCTAGGCCAGGGTTGACAAGGGAGTAGCGAGCCAGGCCCCCTCAGCTCGGCCCCAGGATCCCAGCACCCAAGGGTGGTTAGGGGGACTCACCACGGCAGCTAAACATGACTTTGGTAAAAGTTTCTGAAGGTACTGACACACCCCATGAGGACAAGCTCTCCTCCCCCTCCCCCCAAACACCCCACCAAGTACAATAAAATACAATAAACTCCATAAAGGACCCCCTGAGATCAAAGAAAGAGGGGGGGGAGAGAAAGAGAAAGAGAGAGAGAGAGCGAGAGAAAGAGAGGAAAACCCAGCCCCAGTTTGGGTGCAGTCACCATGCCCACACAGTCTTCCTGGGGTGAGGACTGCGGGAAGCCTAGGTAGATCTAGGGCTCCCACCACAGGCTGGGCCAGGAGAGAGGCAGGAGGAAGATGGGGAATGCCAGATAGGAACACAGAGGTAGAAAAAGAGGGAACAGAGGGAAACGGACAGCAAGCGTGTGGGGAGAGGCGGAAAGGACAGACGCTGGGAGCATGGGGGTTGGGACGAGGAGGCGCCCTCCTGGCCCCTGGGGGCCGCCCCAGCCCAGAGGTTACAACTGAATAAATAGTATTGAGTCTGCTTGCGGCCTGCTGTCTTCCGTTCACAGTGTCTGTTGGGGGGACGTGCATGGCCGGCTGACCCCGGGATGGGAAGGGCTGGGGCCCAGCAGGCACATCTGTCCACAGCTGGTGGGCAGGGAGTCAGGGGTGGGTGGGCGCCCCCTACTTTCTGTCTTCAGCCCTCGGCAGCCGTCCAGGTCCCAGGTCTCCCCTGGTGGGCAGCTGGGTGGCCAGATAGGGAAGAGGGGCCTGTGGCCACGCCCCTGGGCCCCTGTGGGGCTGGCTGCCACCACACAGCTACCTGAATAAGGGCAGATGATGTTGGCTCAGGGCTCCACTAGTCCGCGGTGACTCGGTCTTTGCCATGACATCCTTGAACCAGGATGCCACATCCACCTCGAGCATCTCATAGCGCTTGATGAAGCTATGTTCCTGTGGGCCGAGGGGTGGCTTAGAACGAGGGGTCTTCCCTCCTGGCCTCTCACTTGGGGGGGTGGGGCTTCCCGAGTGGTGGGGGTGGGGGTGGGGGTGGGGGTGGGGCCCAAGTACTCACAAGTAGCTTATTATACTTTGGTCTCTTCCTGTGATCTTTAGTAAGGCTGGAGAAAGAAAAAGGAGAGAAGTGAGAGCTAGGACTGGCTGCACTCCTCTGCTCAGGCCCTCCCCAAGTGAGCCAGGGATCTTCCAGATCTGTGGGAAGCAGCTGTTGGTGTTCTTGGGCCTCCTGCTGGCAGCTGAACTCTGCCAAGCTGTGCATCCCCAAAGCCTCCTGGCCCAGAGCGGCATGTTAGGACCTGGCTTGGGAAGCCAGATCTGGGGTGTGAGGTTCCCACTTAAGAGGTAAGTGGGACTTTCAGGGTGACTTGAATGTGTGCTTTGTGCACAATCTCCCACAGGTGCCATACACCCACAGGGCCAGCTGTCCCCTCTGGTTACATCCAAACCAAGTCGTGGCTCCCAGGGCACCAGCTTCAGCGCCTGCCTGCATCCCTGGCCATGAGCCCAAAAACAGCTAACCCCACTCTGTCCTAGGCCGGCCCCTCCCTTCCTGGTCATACCCAAGTATTCCTGGGCACCGGACCACAGCTGACCTCCCAGGGTCTCCGAGTGGACAGGCAGGGCAGGGTGGGATGCTCACCAGTCTTTGACGAACGACTGGAAGTCCCCCGAGAAGCCCATGTGACTGGGCAGGAGCGGGGGTTCTTCCTGTAGGACTTTGGTGAGGACCTCAAAGTCCGTCTTGCAATTCTTGTAGGGAAACTGTCCTGTTGCCAGCTCCACCTGGAGGGAAACAGGCATGGCTGGGCTGGCAGAGGAGTCCCTGCCCTTCCTCCCTCCCTCCCTCTGCAACCTAGATGGCCTCAACCCCAGCCTGAGGCCAGAGGCAGGACTCCAACTCACCAAGGAGATACCCAGGCTCCACACATCAGCCCGGATGTCATAGTCAGGCTTGGTGGGATCCGGGGGATCTATGCGCTCAGGCTACCGGGAGGGAGAAGAGAAGGATGTACCGAAGGTAGGGCTAGCCCCCAGGAACCCAGTCAGGCCCTGCTGGACCCCACTCACTGCCATGTAGGCGGCACAGCCAGCGCTCCGTGTTTTGGCCTTGGAGTCGACGAGGCGGCCACTGATGCCAAAGTCACAGAGCTTGATCTGGCCCCGCTCATCCAGCAGGATGTTGGAGGGCTTGACGTCTCGGTGGATGACGCCGTGTTTCTCCTTCAGGTAGTACAGCGCCTTCACAATCTGCAGTACAGAGAGGGCAGACACCGTGAGGAGGAGACAGGGTCCAGGGCTGCCCATCTGGCCACACAAGCCCTGGTCTGGCCCACTCACCGCCACAGTCATCTTGCCCAGGATCCGCTCAGGGATAGGGCCCTGCATCCGCTTCTTAAGCTTCTCTGCACAGGTGCCCATGAGCTCCATGGCAATGAAGACGTCAGTCTGTAGAGGGACAGTGGCACTTGTGGCTAGGAAACCTGTCCTGCTCTACACCCCAGTCTCATTCTGGTCCCCAGTAATAGGCAGGGCAGCTCACGTTGGTGATGAAGGTGCCGAAGCACTGAACAATGTAGGGGCAGTCGTGGCTCTTGAGCACCACATCGAGGTCCATGAGGATGCGTTTGTTCTCCTCCTTGTTCCCCGAGCGCCTCATTTGCTACAAGGAGGAGTAGTTAGAGGGAACCTCAGTGCTAGGCTGCAGGATGTGGGACCCAGTCTGGAGGAGGGACCATGGCTTACCTTGACGGCAATGATGTGGCCTGTCTTCCGGAAGCGCATCTTCCATACCTGGCCACAGGTACCACTGCCCATCTCACCCAGATTCTCGAGGTCATTGATTTCTGCCTGATAGCGCTGGGAGGAGAGCAAGGCTGGAGGGTCCCTGGGGCCTCTAATCCCACCCCAGCCCAGCTGTGTCTGGTCCTAGCCATGCAGGGTGCAGAATGAAGGGTGGTACCTGGCCCCCGATGGTTAGGTAGCCTGTCTGTTTCATGATCTCCTGCAACTTCTGATCGATCTCGATGCTGTGGGGTCAGAGAGCAGGGGCTGGAGGAAGGAATCCTGACCAATCTAATGGAATACCAGTCCCACATACCGGGTATCACACAGAATTCATCACCCACCTCCCTGGGAGCTGGCACAGGGCTGAGTGATAGCCCTGTATCAACTCACCTCTCCATGCTGCGGGGTGTGAACAAGGTCGGCGGGAGCCCCAGCATGTGGCGGGGCCGGGCGGGGGGTGTGGGGTGCTGTGGAGAGCTCTCTGAGGACGGCGAACGGCTGCCCCCATCATTGGCCAGCGGGAGCTGCAGGGCTGGGAAGGTTGAGAACCAGGGGCAGGGAAGGGATTAATATCTAGCTGATCCCAGCTCCAGGGCTGGCATTCTGGAGAGGGGACAGGTCCTCAGGTTCCCCTCCCTGATAGCCCTCAGCCAGGCCAGCAGAGCCCCTGCCCTACAGATTGGGGTCACCCTCCCCACCTGGACTGTCCTCAAGGTGCCTTCTCCTGCCCCCCCCACTCCCCGACCTGAAAGATGGGGTGGGTGGGGGAGGGGTGGTCACAAAAGACTTTGTTTCCAAGTCTACGTTTGCCAGAGACATGAGGTGGAGACCTCAGCTAGGTGGCTTCCCTGGCATGCTACTTTTATGTCCGCCTCTGCCTGGAAGCAGGCCCATGGCATCCACATCTGACCATGTGAGGACAGAACGCCCGCCAGGATCGGACTGGGCCTTTTTGGCCTTGTCACCAGCAGTGAATTTAGTGGTCAAACAAGAGCCAGGGGTTCCTGGTTCTGGTTGCCACGCCCCATGTTCTGCTCCAGCATCAGGGAGGGCTACCCTCTGACTAGACGGCTGATCTGTATGCCCCCAAGCCAGGCCTGCAGAGCTGGAGCAGGTGAAGGGAATTAAGGGGGATAGCTCCTCTAGAGATTGGGGGTGAGCACTGGGACAGGCAGAGGGGTTGGTACTTCCCAGCGGCCTGCATGCGATAGCTTGGGCATGCTACAGGCGGGCAAGGTGGGCAGGCAGGCGGGCAGGCAGCGGGCACCCCAGGATGGGCAGGTGGCGTTAGAGGGTAGGAAGAGGGGCAGAAGACAGACAGATAGGAGCCAAGACTTGGGGCCTAGCTGCCCAAAGGAGGCACTGCAGATAGGCCAGAAAGAAGTCTGGGATGGTAGAACAGGTGCCTGAAGAGCTAGGGTCTCCCTGGCCTGACTGCGATGGCGTGGGGGAGCAGGAACTGAGAGTCTGGTGCAGCGCCTGTCCTCCAGGGGCCGCTTGTACCCCAGAGGGCCCAGTGCCCTGAACAGACAATGGCTTGCTCACCTCAGAGTACTGGCAACAAGCCCTCTCCAAGAATCACCTTTCTGGGGGCCTGGAGCCTATCACTCTCCCACAGCCCTCAGGACTGCAGGCTCCTGGAGACTTGGGCCCAGTGACCAAGGAGTAGAGACAAATCACTCAAGTTGCTTGTAGCCACGTTCCTTCTTGGCCTCATGGCCAGGTCCCTGATCTCAACCAGCAATAGGAAGCAGGTAAGAGGACCCTGACCTGCAGTCAGAGATGCGGGTCAGGGGCAGGTCTTGCCAGAGCTTGGCGGGAGCAAAGGAAGAGCCTTGAGGACATGGCTGAGTCCAGCACTTACCAACAGCCCGAAGCCTCACTTCCCATGTCCTCTCCTGCTGCTCCTGGCTGAGCAGCAGCATCTTGATGTCCCTATGCCTCTGCTGTGGCCATGACCCCAATCACAATCCTGATTCCTCACTGGTTCCTAAGGACCTGTGTCCCCTTCCCCAGCACCCTGACTATCTCTAGGAACTGTCCGGGTTTCACCTCCAGGGGTACCTGGGCTCCTTCACCCAACACCCTCCACTCTCTGGAGACAGGACTACATCCCCAGTCTCTCCATACAGTGAGGTGCCCTATGGGTGCCCCTTGCAGTCCACTAGGCCCTCCTGGGGAAAAAGGCTGCAGGCCCCAGACCCTGGAGCATGGTGGGGATTTGAGGGGGGCTAGAACGGGAAAGGGAGGGAAATGCACAAAGGCACTGAGAACAGAGGTCATAGAGAGGGTGACAGTCACACAGCAGGTCAGGAGAGCAGAGTGAATATAAGAGGGGGAGAATGAATAAATGAGAGAGAGAAAGAGAGAGAGTAGAAGGACATGTGCCCACTGACAGAAGCCTTGTAAGTTCAGGATGCCAACCCAACATTCACACATACTCATGCAAGTATACACAGGGCATGGAAAAATCCACACACACATGCAGACAGGGACAGAGCCAGAATCCCCACCCCTCCTCCATCCCCTCCCTCACACACAAAAAGGTTGGGAACACACAACAGCCTCACCCAGCCACAGTAACACACAACCACCCACCGAGTCAGACCTCCCACCTCTGTCAACACAGGCACTCTCTTCTACATGCACTGCACAGGTGGGAACTGCATGCCCCAACTGTCCAACTTGTCTGCTCCCAAACACACTCCCAAACCTCATTGGGGCTGTCCCCTCCCCCAGTGTCCCAGGACACTTCGTACAAATCCTATCTCCTCCAGAGACTTTCCCTGAGTGATCCCCTGCAGAACCCCTCACCCAATTAGAATGTTCTCCCTGTCCACCGGTGGACCCCCTACTGCAGCCTCAGCCCCACAGACAAAGGGTTGGTCTGTTCTGCTCACTGCTGTGTCCCTGGTGCTGAGAACAGACATTTATACCAGGGTTGAGAAAGACTGAACACAGTGCACCTGCCTGGCCCCACTTTCTCTCTTACACACACACACATGCAGGAACACACCCATGAGATTCCTGCCAGACACCCATTTCTCTAGGAACTCCAAACTGAGTCAAAAGGAAGGGGGGCAGTGAGAGGACGCATAGGGCTGGGCCAGGCCCACACTACTCTAGTGGAGCGACAGAAAGTGAGGGTGAAGACACACACAGAGCATGGAGTGGGGATGGCATTCTGCGTTCGGGGTGGTTAGGTCAATGGTGCAGATGTCCAAGCGGGCGATGATAAAAAGGCTGGTACCTGCTCGCTGGGACGGGGCAGGAGCAGGGCTTAGAGTGATCACAATAACTGGATGGGGAAAAGGAAGAAAAAAAACAACACCACGATAAATCACAACAGAAACAACCGATTTGTCCAAAAGAAAAGAAATCAAATCATAATTGGGGGGGGGGTGGCACAAGGCACCAAACTGCAGAGATGGGTAGAAACTGACAGAGATGGGAGGGTGGGAGGATGGGATGGAGCTGACAGACACAGATGCCTGGAGGGGGCTTCTCGGGGCCTGCCCGCCATGGGCCTCACCAGGCCTCACTGTGCAACTAGGGGCACAGGGACCCCATACCCAACCCTATCTCATTCATGCTGGGACTGGGGAGGTCAGCCCTGACGAGTCTAGCAGGGATCCTCCAAGTCTTGGGCAGGCTTCTGGTCATAGGCAGCATCCAAATGACAGCATCTCCACCTCCAGAATTTCTCTGGGCCCACAAGGGACTCCCCAGGAAGGAAGGGACCCACACAGACTGAGGTCAGAAGAGGGAGGGACAGAAGTGAACCTTGAATAGGGATGGGTGAGGGGTTAGGCTGTGGAGGTCAGACTAGCTGAACAGGAAGTGGATAGAGTACTTAGATATGGGGGGAGGGGGGCTTCCCCCTCCTGTTAGGATGACTCCACAGGGAACTATATAAACTCCAAGGATTATATCACAGGGGACATAAGAGGGTGTTCTGCTGTGTCAAGAGAAACACAGAAAAGAGTCATGGGGTGGAACTGGTCACAAGATCCTTACAGCAGGGGAAAATCCAATTCCCTTCAGCAGAGAATTGGGGACAGAGGCCTGTGGGACACAACAGGGAAGCTACTTATGGTCATGATGATCCCAGGTCAGGTATGTATGGAGGGGCAAGGACAGCTGTTGATTCAGGGCAACAAAATGTCAGGGAGCTAGGGCACAGAGATGGCAAGATCCGAAAAGAGGTGTGTGTTTGCTCATTGAACCTATATTCATTTGGGCCTTAGGTTTCCACAAGCCAGCTGGATATGAGGACAGGAAAAAGTCACCAGAGCCCAGGAGACTGGGAGATGTACGTATGTTTCTGGAGAACTAGACACATTGACCAAGATGGACGTACTGGAGCTTGTCACAGAGGTATTAAGGGGTCTGTTGAACCCCAATGACAAAGTAATCCCAGGCTGAGGAAAACAGAGCACCAGATATGGTCACAGGATCAAATGATAGACTCCTCTGTCCAGAAGGATTATATGTGGGTACAGGTATACGTGGTTAAGTGACTTCAAGTGTCCCCAGGCCCAGTGGTAGGTATGTGTGAGTGGATCATCTGCTTGACCAGGCCAGGGAAGGGGAACTCTTGATACTGAGATGGCAGCAGAATTACTGGGTCAAAAGAGATGTCAGTGTGTTTGCGAGGGGGACCTGGATTCGCTCACGGTCGTGTGAGGTCGGTGAGCCCGGTTCAGTGCAGGTGGCAGAGGATCTTGGTATCGCGATGACCCGGGATCGGAGGCGGGTCATGGAGTGAGCGGAGCCTCCTTTGAGCCCAGTAACTAGGCTCCCAAGCCCCAAGAGTGGGAACCCCCAGGGTCCGGGGAAAGGCCGCCCGGAACCCGCAGGCCCCACGCCCCCTGGGTCACCGTGACCCTCACCCAGCGAGCCAACAGCGGTAGGGCAGAGAGGAGGAGCCCGAGCGCCCCGGAAGCGGGGGCGGGGCCTGGCGACGGGGGCGGGGCCCCCCGCAGAGCGCGCCCCGCCCCACCCGCCCACCCCCTCCCCCACGCCGCCGTGCTTACTGGGCCTGGGCCGCTGGGGGCTGATATCCAGGTTGAGGTCGATCCTCCTCCGGGCCTCGCGGTTCTCCTGCTTCAGCTTTGCTTCTAGTCGGGACAGCTTTTGCTCCAGGGAGGACGCCGCCATCTTCCCCGCCGCCGCCGCCGCGCACCGCCGGGCCGTCCGTCAGTCCGGCAGACAAACACCGCACTGCGCCTGCGCTGGGATGACCCAGCCGAGCCGCCGTCTCGCCTAGCATGGCGCATGCCCGCGGCGCGCACCCGCCCTGCCCTCGTGCGAATCTCGGCGCGTGCGTGCTTCGTTCCGGGCTGAAGACGCCACCTAGAGCTCGCGGCTGGCAAACATGCAACATCCCTACCCATCCCCTATCGCCGTGATGCGCATGCGTCAAATCCGAATCGCTTTGGAGAGAGGCGCTGCGTGGAAGCCCATCATTTTAGAGCGCGGTGGGCGGGGAAAGTAGTGCGCATGCGTACAGCGGAGGAGACGCGGCCACGCTCCTGTCTTCTACTGTGCATGTGCATCCCCAGCGCCTGTTTTTTTTCTCAGCAGGTGTTATGTGTGGTCTCCGCGGCGGTGCGTTCTCAAGCTTTCTAGTCGCTGTTCCCCGCCTGGTCCTCCCTGGCACCTGCGCCCACACAGAACTTCCTCGCCTCGGATAGTGCTTCATTAGCATCCCTGTTACGCTTAATTGCTGCCCGACTTCCCGCTGGCTGCGCGGTACAGCCTACTCACCATAATTAAGCGCCCGTGGGAATCCCTTTCCATTTCAGCCAGTCCCATCAAGCTCAGGGTTGGTTGAGGCCTGGTGGGAGGGGAGGACTCTGTGAATCCGGCCGCTCGATCCCAGATTTCGGTGCCAGGACCAAGATCAAGGCCAGAACTGTGGGGGAGTTTATGACGTCCCACCGCCAGTCTATCCCGTCTTCGGAATATGAGCCCAACTCATGGACGTGCAGAATTCTCTGCAAAGGAGTTTGGGGGTTAGGTGCCTCTGCCCAGTACCCCAACAGCTCCTTTTAAGTAGTTTTGAAGAGTGCTGGGAAAATGTCCCCATCTGGAACCCTGTGTCCTTCAAGAGTAGCTTGCCTCTGCTCTTAGGTGCAAAGAGGAGGCTTGCATTTTGCAGAAACATTCAACAGGTGGCCAACCCCAGGAGGTGAAGTTGTACCAAGTAGTCTGTCCATTCTGGGACCAACATGGAAACACCCTGGTATGGGCATCGAAAGCTTCTGGGGACTCCTGGTGGTGGAAGGACCAGAAGCATGTGTGGAGTTAAAAAGATAAAAGGGGAGGGAGAGAAAAAGGAGTTCTCTGGAGAAAAGCCAAACAGAAGACACCACCCAATTTTTACTGATTAGATGAGGTCTCTACCTTGCCCTGCTTTAGGTTGCCTTTGGTACCTCTCCTCCCAGGATGGATCACAGCCTTGATTCTGGCAGACAGCAGTCGACACTTAGTCCCGTGAAAAAGAAGGCTCAGACAATGATCAGTGCACACAGAGATGAATTATAGCTCTCATAATTAATGTTTATTAAGCACCCACCAATATATGTTCCCTCACAGGGAACATCCAAAAAAACCCAAAGTCCTTGCATGTCCTCAGAAAAATGTAGCCTCTACAGCAGGTGTTAACTTGGAGTTAGCCAAACTTAGGAAATCCATGAACAGCCCTCTGAAAGATCTGCTCTGTGTGTGTGTGTGTGTGTTAGCATTTTCCTAAGGAAGGAGGTACCCAGCTTCATAAGATTCTCAAAGGGTCTAGGACCTAAAAGGGGCTCAGAATCAAGATGTTCCAAAATCTGTTCTTTAGGTCAGCATTTCCACCATATAGTCCCAGGACCACCTGTGTCAGAATTACCTGGTGTGCTTATTTATGAGCAGGTTCTTGGCCCCCACCCAAAGCTCCTGAGTCAGTATTTCTGGGGTGGGGCTTGGCATGTTTTGTTTTATCCTAGCTCCTGTGTGGATTTTGATGCACAGCCAAATATAAGAACCATTGTTTCTGAGCACAACGTCAGTAGCAAACAACTACTAAATAAGAAATTGGCATCAAATCTTGGATGGGGTGGCAGAGCTGGTCCCTTGTCTCTGTCCCCTCCTTTGGAGAGAACCCCAGAAATAAGCTGTTCTGTGGCATGGGAGGGGGGAGGGTTAGAAAATCCATTGGGATGTGTCCCCACTCCCATATAGGACACTAATTGAATTGGAATGTGCAGAGAGAGGGCAGGCCAGCTAGTCAAAGACACAGGTGCGGTTTTAGTCTGTGACTAAGTTAATCCTTCCAAATAGGGTTCCTCCCCAAATCCACAACCTCCTGTCTCTCCCTAGACAAACCAGTCCAAGGATCTCACCTGGGGGGCTTGCAGAGTGGTTCAAGTGATAGAGTGCCTGCCTAGCAAGGATCTCACCTGGGCCCCACAAAGCTAATATCTCTGTCCCTCCTCACTTGGCTGGGCCCATTAGCCAGCTCCCTTGGAAGACAATGCCAGGGCTGAAGTATCCAACCTGCCCTCCCCCAGCTTCATTCCTCTTCCATCCTCTCTCGCACCTCTGTGGGCAGCCCTTCGTAAAGGGTGTCCTCCACCAGCAGCCCTGCCTTCTTCAGCCCTGTGCAGTTGCCAAGTTCTTCTGGTAGTGCCTCCAAACGGTTGCCCTTAAGCTCCAGGCGACTGAGGGCCCTGAGGGCTGCCACGTGGGGAGAGAGCTGACTTAGGTGGTTATAGCCCAGAAGCAATGTCCTCAGCTTTCGACAGAAAAACAACTCATCGGGCAAGGCTTCCAGGGCATTGTAGGAGAGGACCAGGTGCTGCAGGTTCTGCAGGAGGCCCACCTCAGGTGGCAGGGCACGCAGCCCATTGTGGGACACGTCCAGCAAACGGAGGCCAGAGCACAGGCCGAGCTGCGTTGGCAGGGTCTCAAGCTTGTTGTGGCTGAGGTAGAGCTGCTCAAGGCCCCTGAGCTTCCGCACATGCTCGGGGATGTAGGCGATCTGGTTGTGCCACAGCCTGAGCGTCACTAGCTTTCGACAGTGCTGGAAGCTGAGGATCTCCTCAATGGACCGAAGGTGATTATCCTTGAGGTCAAGTTCCTGCAGAGCACCTAAGCTGAAGACGGCATGGGGGATGCGCTCCAGCCCACAGGCCACCAGCTCCAGCTCCCGCAGTACCGCCAGCTTCTTAAGGCTGTTGAGGGCAAGCAAACGGGCTCCGTCATTGTGCAGGCTGAGTCGCTGCAGGTGTCCAGCCACGTCGGTCACGCTAGCTGGTACCTTCCCGGCATTGCTGCGTAGAGACAGCACTTTAAGCTGCTTCAGTTCCCGGAGGCTCTCAAGGGTTGCAGCCCGAGCCAACTCCGGAGGAAAGAGCCCCTCTAGATGCAGCTCCTCTAAGCCACGAAGCCCAAACACCCAGAGGGGCACTTCGCGGAGCTCCTCACATTTGACGCAGATCACTTTCAGGCGGTCCCGCAGGAAGATCTGGGAGGAGAAGGGCAGCCTGGCAGGCGAGTGGAGCAAGCTGAGCTCCTGGAGGTTCACCAGCTGGGAGAGCCCTGGGGGAAAAGAGATATCACAGATGGCCTCCAGCCGGAGTGCCTCTACCTCACTGAGCTCAAAGACAGTGTCAGGCAGTCCAGGGAGCATGCACAGCGCCAGTTCTAGCCGCCCCCTTGCGTTGCGCTGCAGCTTTTGCCGAAGCTTCTCAGGTGTCCACTCGTGGTTGAGGTTGAGTTGCTTCAGGCGGCTTTCGCTGACCTCAGAGAGGAAAACAGCGAAGCGCTTGGAATAGAGTGAGTCGTACTGGTCGATGAGGTGCAGCATGAAGGCAAAGTCATTCTTAACATCAGGGATGTCGTTCATGCCTGTCTCCTCCCGCACAGATCTGAAGGAGTACTCTTTGAGGGGCCGGTGAAAGAGCCAGTAGAGTGTGTACAGGCAGGTGATTCCATACACACACACGAAAGAGATGTAGCAGAAGGCCAGCTTGGAGAAGAGGTGGGCTTTGGTATGGTTACAGCAGAAACTGGCATACCCAGTGACCTCTGAGGTCTCCACCCTGCAGGCCACTAGGAAGCTGATCTTCTCCACATAGACCAAATTGTAAACCAGTATGGCAAAGAACTTGCATACTTTGAGCACTGTCTGCCGAATGTACATGGTGTAGAGGATGTCACCCTCTTCCACGTGTACTCGGAACTTCTTGACCTTCTCAAACAGGGCTTTGGCCTGCTCGCCCTCCTTCTTGTCTAGCAGGGTGACAGCGGGAGGCTCTGTCACTACCTTCTCAGGTTCTGCCAGCACCTTCTCCTTCTCGCCTTCACCTGCCTTTCCTGGCCCAGTCCCTGCTGAAGCCACCACAATTGCCATAGGTCGTCCAGCAGCTGGGCCCTTGTGGTTCTCTCCAGAGACCTCAGACAAGGCCCGTGTGGTCCATGGGGAATCAAAACACTTGCCCAGGATGGAGATGAAGTGTTCAATCTTGGAGCTGGTGCCAGGAAACTTGAACCAGAAGCTGGTGCAGACCATGAAAATAAGCGTGTGAATGACCACCAGGTAGGGGAAGTACTTGGCGTACCAGTGGAGGGCTGTTTCATAGCACAGCTGGTTAATGAAGCTATACTGCTGTAGGTCCAAGTTGTTCTTAAGGCCACTCAACTCCCGGAGGCCTCCCATCTGCTCAGAAACACCCCGAGGCAATAGTTGTTGGCACGGGGCCTCTGATAGATTCTCCCGTGGTTCATGACTGGGGAGACAGATGATCTTGTCCTGCGTCACCTGGGGATGGGGAGAGGGTGAAAAAAGAGTGAGCGGGCCTAGGAAATTGTGGGGGAGAGAAACAGGCTGAGACTGGGAGAGCCTGATCCCAGACAGTTGGCCAGCAGTTGACTTTTGCTAAACTTCAGCATCGATCTTTTGTCAGAAATAAAGGATTTGGGTTGAGTTGTGTTCCTTCCCTCCAAAGATGTTAAAGTCCCAACCCCCAGTTCTTGTGAATGTGACCTTAGTTGGAAATAGGGGCTTTGCAGAGACCACTAGAGTGGACCCTAATCATGTAGAACTGTGTTCTTATAGAAAAGGGACATTTTGCCACAGATGAGGGCCATTGGAAGACATAGGGAGACTGCCATCTAAAAGCCAAGGAACTCCTGGGCTGCTAGAATCTATGAGAGAGGTGTAGAACAGATTCTCTCTTACAGGCCACAGAAGGAACCTACCCTGTCCATGACACCTTGGCATCCATGGGCCTCTAGAACTGTGGACAATAAATTTCTCCCCAAAGCCCTCCCTATGCTCCTTAGCTAATAACAGCCCTAGCAAACTTAACTGCAGCCCTTTTTGGATCCCAGGGATAAGTGGCATTATAAAAGTAGAGGCAAGGCTAGAAGTGTGGCTTAAGCAGTAGAGCACCTGCTAGCAAGAATGAAGTCCTGAGTTCGAACCCCAGAACCCCGCCCCCCCCAAAAAAATGCAGTTATCCATTTTGCTGGGCACTGGTGACTTACATCTGTAATCCTAGCTACTTGGGAGGCTGAGATTGGGAGGGTCGTGGTTCAAGGCCATCCCTAGCAAATAGTTCATGAGACCCCCATTTCCAAAATAACCAAAGTGAAATGTACTGGAGGTCTGGCTGAAGTTGTAGAGCATCTGCTTTGCATGCACAAAGTCCTGAATTCAAATCCTAGTCCCACCAAAAAAAAAAAAATACATGCCTATAATCCCAGAATTCAGGAGACAGAGTGAGGCAGTTCAAAGCCATCCTGGGCTACATAGCAAGAAAAATAAAGAAAAGAGGAAATGTGGTGTGCTGGTGGTGGCCATGGTGGTGGTGGTGGTGGGGAGGTAATGGGTCAAAATTGGTGTGCAAGTGAGCTCTGGATTCAGTTTCCTCTCCCCCTTCTTGAATGACAGGAAGGCTTCTGGACTTCCTCAAGTGCAGGGCCCGCCCCTTCATGGCCCCGCCCCTCACCTGAAGGGTGCAGCCGAAGACCCCAATCATGAGCATTGCCACGGTGAGATACTCAGCCAACACATCCCACCAGGGTTTGAGAACCTTAAACGCAGGCTGCTGTTCCGTGAATTGCTTGAACTCGGCCACCGGGATCATCCTGCCTGTAGGAGGCGGGGAGACAGCGGGCAGGGTAGAGAAATCATGGTTAAGAGGTGCCTGGTAGGAGGATCCCTAGGGGACCCAGACACAGGCCTTTGCTCAAAATCCAGAACCTATGAGAAGTGTCCTTCCTTCTCCTCTTAGCTGGGTTTTGCCCCATCTCCCAGACCTCACCTCCTTCCCAGATCAGGAGGCCACAGATCTCAGGGCTTCTCCCCAAAGCCCCGCCAAGATCTGAGTGGGTGCCCTCTAAGAGCAGAACACAGCGCTGCTGTTTCCCAGGCTCCCCACATGGCCTTCTCCCCACCCTTGAGGAGGGAAGCCCGAAAACATCAACTCGGGTGTGTCCTGACTCCAGCTCTCACCTGCACCTGACCAGTGTCCCAAGGCTCAGGACTTCCGGGGCGTGGGGTCCCCCACCCCCTCCAGGGGCGCTCCACTCTGGGCAGCACCTTCAACCTCCAACCGGAAAAGCCGGCTGGAGCCTGGCTGTGCTCTGGTTACCTGGGCCCCAGGGTTTAGGGAGTGGCCAGTCAGCCTGGGGTGTGTGTGTGACCGGGACACCTGAGTTTCTAAAGAGGCAGGAGACCTCAGCTCTGAGAGAGACGGAGGATGTTGGAATGTCTAAAGGGTGTAAGATCCAAAAGTGGAAAACTCTCACAGTGACACCTACCACTGGCCTGGTGACTGACATGGGGCTGGGCTGTCAGGCTCCTGGGCTGCCAGCCCACTCTGTCTAGCCCTGGTTTCCTTTTCAACCAAGGTATTATTATTGCAGATACAGACGGGCCAAGCCCAAGTAACATGGGGGCGTGAGGCACAAGCTGGGATGTCATCCTCCCAGGCAGGCAGCCACTTGCTGAGGCTGGAGAGGGAAGGAAAGAGTGGAGGTCTTTAGGCAGTTCACCATTCCCAGCATCCAAACTTTCCCAACCCCCTGGCTTCTCATACAGGTTCCTAGAAGCCCCCAGTCCTCGCCTTGATCACCTGTGGCTGGACCAGGAAGGGAGCATTCCGGCCATCAGTTGATGCTCTTTTGTCCCTCATCTCCCCAGAAAGGGTAAAGAAACCCTGGTCCCTTGTTTCATATTCCACCCAACTGCTCTGACACGTCTGTGTCTGTTTTTTTCTGTTTCTATGTCCCTTGAGTATCCCCTGTGACTCCTGAGTGAGGACCATAATACAAGATGCAGGTCCAGTCCGCCCACCAGGCCAAGAACGAGGCAAGCTACAATAACCAGACCCCTTAATCCCCTCTGAGGCTCCCATCTCCATATGGGAAATCTGCAGGCAAGTGGCAGGCACAAGCCTTCCTATACAAGAGGAACATGTCGTGGGTCTCAGACTCCTGAGGAACCAGATGCATACAAGGAGATGCCCAGAGCACACCCTCACATGATGGTCTGTCCCCTACACTTACTATGTGCGTCCCTGTCCTATGCAAAAAGCTAAATAAAAAAAGTCCCAGCCTCCATCATCACTGTCTAATCTTACAAAAAAAATGAGCCCAGTGTAGCTCAACAACATCCAGGAGATCATTGTATATGGCAGCCACCAAAAGGGACACCTGGTGGCATTTTGGAACATGCATATTTGTGCATGGGGGTACAAAATGCAAACACCCACACTGAGCAGAGGTAAAACCCAAAACCAGGGAGCAGTAACATCTACCTAGGGTGGCCTTGATGGATCCTTCCAGAACATAGCCCTGAGGATGACAGCAGAAATGATGTGTACATAGCCAAGGATCAACACTCTTTTCTGGCTCATCTTTTAGGACCCAGCTCACAATGCTGTAAGTTTCACCACCTACCTGCCTGGCTGCCCTCTTCCCAAGTACACAATCACAGGCCAGAAGACAGAAAGCCTCAGGATTCCACAAGGACAAGGACAAGGATGGAGCAGAGGCTCCCAGGGGACAGAATCAGACACGGATGTGGGAAATTATCATTATCTGACTCCATGACTCAAACTGGATCGTCCAGAACCTGCCATTACATTTCCCTAGACGCAAGGCTGGCCCCCTGTGTCTGAGCAGAGCTGGTGGGAGGGCCCAGGAGAAGGGGTTCACAGAACTGGGGAGGGGCAGAAAAGAGTGGCAATGGAGACCTGATGTTCTCAAAGCTGAATTTTTTGGTGGGGTGGTGGTATCCCTGTACCACCCAGAATTCAGTGCTCCATGCTTGCTAGGCGGGCATTCAAAGGCTTGAGCACACCTCCAGCAGTCAATGCTAAATATTATCCCAAGTTTGGGAGCGTGGGTGTCAGGGGCACTGTTTTCCAGACATGGAAGAGAGAAAACTTGTTTAGGGTTTTACAGTTATAAGTGGTGTTTGAGCCTGGTCCACCTGACCCCCCCCACCTTCCTGTCTGATGTCACTCACTCTGTTACACGGTATGAAAGAATGGCTCACTGAGCTACAGCATCTTTATAAAAAAGAACCCTAGAGGGATATCCCAGAAAGCCAGGCTAGAGGGTCTTGTCAGTCTAGGACCACATGGTCCTCTCAACTATGCCTCAGCCACACTTCCTTCCCCTCACAGACCCTCCTCAAGCCACCTGCCTCCCAAAACATGGTGGACAGGCTCCTGCTGCTGGACTGGAGGTAGCATGTGCTCCCAGCCCAGTCCACATCTCCATCCACAGCCTACATGCTAAGTGGCCATCCTGAAACAGCAAACCATTTGTTTTTCAGCGTTGAGAAGCACAAAACCCAACCCCTGCTTTTTTTCACAAGGGGAAACTGAGGGATGGTGTGAAGGAAGATCACCGACCAGTTAGTAGCAGAATTTGGTCCAGGCCTATGGACTCCCAGACAAGCACTTTCCCTACTGGGACTTGGGGGTGGGAGATGTCAGGGAAGTCCTGAAGTTCAAGAATCTCAGACAGCAAATTGGTGAGGACCCCAAGTGGTAGGGCTATGGGACTTTCAGGAGCTCACCAGGTTGAGTTACGGCTGTTTTCCCAGCCGCCAACCCCAGACAGAACAGAGGTCAAGACCCCAAGGTCGACTCTTGCCTGTTGCTGTCACAACAGGAGCTCCGAGCCTCTGCTTGCTCACCCCATCCCCCCCATCCCCCAAGCCACAGTGCCAGCCGCCCCTGAGCGATCTTCCCCAGGGCCAGACCAGGGCTCCAGGCTGACCCCCACCCATGGCTCCCCATGGACCAGAGCCCCCTACTCACCGCTCCGGGATGGACGCCGGGCCCAACTCCTAGGTCCCAAGGAGTGGAGCGGTCGGGACTCCCGCAGAGTTCCCGGGCAGGCCGGCCAGGGTGAGTCAGGGCTGGCGGGCCAGGAGCCGGGGAGCCGCCCCGCCCCGCCCCCGGGACGGCTCGCCCCGCCTTGCTGCGGTCTCTCGCAGGTCGACCCCACGGTCGCCGGCAGGAGAGGGATCCTAATCCAGCTCTCTCCCAGGTGGACACAGGGCCAGACCGAGGGGTGAGGGCCTTAGGAGTCTGCAGTTTAGGCAAACCCTGGACGTGGGGAAAGACGAAGAAGCTGGAGGCCCTGGGCTCTCCAAATTATCCTAGGGCTGCCTTTCTGGACAGGTGTCAGAAACAGATTAGAAGGGCTTCCTCCATCCCCTAAAGGCATCGCCACCTGGCATCCTAGCTCAACGAAGGCCCAGGTGACCACAGTATTCAGGCTGGGGGAAAGAGAGGGCTTCTGCTTTCCAGAGCTGAACTTGGGGCAGCAGCTGGGGTGCTAACCTGACTGTCCCTACCCAGGCTCCTGGCTGCCCTGGGGGGAAAAGGAAAACAAACTGTTCCTAGCACTTGGGGGATGCAGAATCTGGAGGCTCTGGAAGCTGGGAATGAGTTCCAGTCTAGGAGCCCCACTTCTAAAAACCCAAGACTGCCTCCTCTCCTCTACTCTGGTCTCCCCACCACCCAGGAAGGCCCGGGCTGAGTCACAGCCAACAAACCCAGAATACAGCCCATTTCAACCTGGAGGCAAATTGGTTTGAACCCTGATGTACTCTTGGCTGAAAATCCTCCCACCTGGACTAGGTAGGAGAGTGAGCTGTCCCCCACAGAGAAAAAGAAATAGTCCCCAGCTCTTCCTGGTGCTGGGGATCAAACCTAGAGTCTTCCGCAATCTAGATAAGTGCACCACTCCTGAGCTAAAACCCCAGTTCCCTGTCTATCAGATCCTGAAGAACATCTGGATTTAGCTTCTTTGGAGAATGCTTCCTTTTCTCTCTCTCTCTCTCTCTCTCTTTTCTTTCTCTTCTTTCTTTTTTGGACATGCTGGGGTTTGAACTCAAGGCTTTGCACTTGCTACATAGGTGCTCTACCACTTGAACCACACCCCTAGCCTTTTATTATTATTTTTTATTTATTTATTTTTTTGATAGGGTCTTATGGTTTTGCCTGGGGCTGGCCTCAGACCACCATCCTCCTACCTATGCCTCCCATATGCTTGGGATTACAGGAATGTACTGTATACCACACCTAGTTTATTTTTTGATATGGGGGTCTTGCTAACTTTCTGCTTGGGCTGGCCTCAAACTGAGATCCTCCTGATCTCTGCCTCCCAAGTAGCTGGGATTATAGACATTTACCACTATGCCTGGCTTGTTTTCTTTTTGTAATGCTGGGAATGGAACCCAGGGACTCACATGTGCCCTAGATGATCCCCCTTCCTTTCTCTGACAGGATCCTTCAGATCTGAGCCCTGGGAGTTTGTTTGCAACTATATTCTGAAATAAGCATCCTGATCCCCATTGCTTTGCTAGTTGTGCAAGAATCTGACTTCACTAGAATACAAGCCCCATGAGTCCTGGTCACCTGTCTCTTTTGCTCCCTGCTGTATCTCCAGCTCTTGGAACAGTGCCTAGACCATAGTGGGCATTCAGTAAATGACGGATGGGTGATCTGTCTGGGGCTCCATTTTGCTGTTGATCTCTGGGAGATGATGAGGAGACACCTCCAAGTTGTCTCATCCAAGAGGCGAGGCAGTGGAGGTATTTATCCATTAGCCCATCTGTCAT